AAAAAGATAATTTAAAATTTAAAAGATTTCACAAAAAAAAAATCGCGAATTCGAAAAAATCTTTCGCAAAAATCCCAATATAATATAAATAATTATCAAAATTAAAATTCTTTATAAAAACCTTTAAATCGATCACCATATATATATATACAATTTTATTTATCCATTTATAATATATATATTTATTGTCTTCGTCCTCCATGTGAACAAATTATATTAATATATATTAACATATTTCAAGAAAATTAAAAATTATATTTCGTGGAAATTTAATAAAAAATTTCGATCAACCGCGCATTATATTTCCAAATTTGTTGTGTGGCAGGCGTGGGACGATTATTTATCACCCATTTTTTAATCGACTTTAGAGCTTTTGGAGGGTAGAAATACGACCAGGGTACGATACAATTCCATACTAGGATTCTAAGGATAAAGGTTGCGCAGAAGAAACCAAATCTCAACAAGCGGCACTTTTGTCCTCTCAGTATATATGTATTCAATTTGTTCCAAATTCAATAAATTAAAAATATATAGAAATATAATGAAATATAATATATATATACTATGAATATACAATATTTAAATCAATATTTACCATTATTTACCAATATTTAATTTTTAGATTTAGATTATTTAGATTTGAAAAAAACATATTTCATAAACATTTTCTTTGATTTTTTTACCAACCGTATCTGCCATAAGTTTGTGCCTGTGCCAGGTTCATGTTGTCCCACGATTCAATGGATCCATACGGTGCGGCTTGCAATCACAGAATCCTCGTGAAGGAAGAACCTTAAGTATTCACTACCCGTTGGTGGTTTTCCCACGAAAAATGGTGGTTTCATGGGATTTAACCACTATAAATGGTGATTTGATGGTGATTTACCCACTGGTAAACAAACATAGCTATTGAAAATGGCCATAGAAATAGTGAATTGTCGCATAAAAAATAAGGTGATGTTCCATAGTTATGTGAACGGTTACCAGAGGGTAATCTTCACGATCATTCCCAGGAATCTAAACCACCAACCCAAACCACCAGCTATACGGATGGTTGCGAAATCCAAATCGCCAGTTGAAAACGGTAGTAAACATCCCACTATTTAAAGAGGCTTTCAACCATCCCAAATTGGTGGTGCAGGATTTCGCTGGCCCATCCACAGTATGTGTGAAAATATGGTTGGTTTTGGGCATTTATTCAAGCATGTTACAACCATTACTACCAAATACTCCCAGCATATTCACAGCATCTTCCCATCTATTGCTGGTTATCCCAGCAGTAACTCCTGGCAGCAAACACCAGAAAGGTACCTTGGACAACTTGCCATGAGCTGCTCGGTCCAAATGTTCTGCTTCTTTGTTGATGGCATCTTGTGCCTTAACGCCAAAGCTGGGGAGCTTTTTCAAGCACTAAGCCACCATAATGGCTAAGCCTAGTTGTCTCGGTGGGTTGTTGATCCCTGCAAAAGCTTAAGTTACCCTCTGGTAAACTAACATAACTATGGAAAATCACCATTTTGAATGGGAAAATTCACTATAAATGGCAATTTTCAATAGTTATGTTAGTTTACCAGAGGGTAGTGATTTTAGTGATGTCTATGGTGAAGTTTAGCCATCCGATAGTGAATGATATTACATGGCTATGATCTATCGATCTGTACCATGAGGTAAGTCTTCAACCACATTTGTATTCCGTTTTGTCACCTAAAGACTATTGGTGGTTCCAACCTGCAATATTTATCATCTGACAAAGTCATTTGGGTCATCGCAACATAGGAAGCACATGGGCCGCGTGGTCATATATTTATCTCAATTATTCTTGGTTTCACTCCTATCAATGTTGAGTACATCTGTAGATGTACATCTCTCCATCTAAGTTTGTTTTTCAAAAAGCTGCACACGGGCATATAATGTATTGATACTTTATAGCATCCACCAAACAAGTACTTCATCGCTATGTTAGACCCGGATTCTATATTCAAGGTGAGGGCTCCGCCAGTTATGTTCGTTGCTTTATAAACCCAGTAATGTACGGTTATATTCCCCATGAAACCAAAGGTTCACCAACGTATCTGCGTCAACTCTATCATACATCAGCTATAAATCATTATAAATCCCATTCGATCCCATTTTTTTTGTTGGTGAAATCACCGTTTACCGATGGTTTTGTAAACAGGAGGGCTCACCTAAGGTGTCTATCTTTGGGCCTCAAGAATTCGCCACCAAGTCACCAGCCAATTGATGTGAGACTTCCTGAAGCCCAGCTTCTGGAATATTCAGCAACATGATAGGGTCATTTTTTGGGGGTAAATGTTGGTATGTAATATTTACATGGAGCATCTGGGAACATCACTGTGGCGAACCGACCGGCTCCATTTCTGGGGATACATCAACTTGGCGAACATTCCGGAAAACGATGGAAAACCCAGGAAAACCATGGAAAACCCAGGGAAAACCATGGAAAACTCAGGCGTGTTCATCACTTACTAAATCGGATGGTCATTCAAGGGTGCACCCCTGGGTTTGGGGATAGCCTTCTGGAGTCCCGGGGACGTGGGACGTCTGTCCTCGACTGCGTTCGAGTTGGGTAGGCCAGGGTCGTCTGATTCCACTGGTCAGTATCGAACTGGCTGACGCCCTTTGGAACCTCGGGACGCCACGGGGTCAAATCGATGCTGCTGGGTGGGTTCAACATGTGGGTTGGTATTGAAATAGGGCAAGCGTAGGCAATTACTCTTACTTCCAACGTATTATCATCCCGTTCCCTTTTGCAAATACTGTGTAAGTCATGGCCAAACACATGTTTCAGCAATGGGTGATCCATGTGTGTAAGCTCTTCGTGTCTAAGGTCCTTCATCATTGGTGACCTCTTAATTAAACCACGTTCTCCAGGCTTGAACGTCACCTTGTTGGTGGTTTCAACCCTCTGAAAAATATTAGTCAGTTGGGATAAATATTCCCAATATATGGAAACATAAAAAATGTTCCAAACCACCAACCAGTCACCCAATCATTGGTAGAGCTGGTCCAAAAACCGATCATCTAAGTGTTGCATCAACTAAATGAATCAACGCCCTGCTCAACCCATTCGAAAACGGATCCATGTCAGGAGATGGAACATGAACAAAAACAGGCCGGAAGGGACCCAAAAAAGATAGGTAAGTTGGTTTGTAACTTAGGTTAACCTTTTTTCGGTAGATGAGTTATAAAGATGAGGTTGAAAGTTGTATATGTTATAATACCATAGTTATAAACATTTCAAACACCAACTTTTTTCAAGCTTGGCCCTCAGCTTCCTGTGACAAACATGACACTTCTGGCCCCTTAAAACACTCGGGTCCCGGACTGCATGGCCACGCATGTAGCCAGGCTGACCCACCAGGAGGCTGTTCATCTTCCAGTCAGGATCCTGATCGCCATACTTTTCACCATAGAATTCACCCAAATGATGGCTATATATGCTATATTCAATAGTATATTCAATAGGAACATATGGGAACATCATCTTCAAAACCCCATGATTTTTTGCGGCTCCATGCTAAATTCTAGCAGTCTGTGGCAACAATCGAAGGCTCCTCCATAAAACTTACGAAGGTTTGCCCAGAAAGCCAGCCCAGAAAGTGAAATCATTTATATACCTGATGGTCATGGCCATGGATATGACCAACCTCCAATTGCGATGCATATCGAAGCCGACATCTTTAATATCTCTGCGCCTTCTTCCCAAATGGCTCCCGAACTGTGAAGTAAACGGACCAAGGCCCAATTTTTATCACACTCGACATTTTGTCCACATATATGTGTAACTAATGTAAGAACAAAATCCACGACATGTCAGGCTCCATCAGTCTTTTTGGCTCCCAGATCGTGTTACACCAACATCTCCCAGATTTGACCATGGCTACTCAGCCTGCATGCTCTCCGCGGTGATGTGCACTAGTCTCGAGACCTTCGACCTCACAAAAGAGAACTCATGGAGCCGAAGTCAGAGAAACTCATGGAGCCGAAGTCAGAGAACCGCAGAACTTCAGGAAGTTTTGAGAGGATAATTTCGAAAAACCACACATCATCTCATAAACACCTGTCGGCAATGAACCAAGAAAAATCCAAAAAACCATCAAAGATAGTGGACATTGACCGTGGAGATCGCTGTTTCACACGGGGATTATGCGACTGAAATTGCTGGAGGATGCCTGGCTCATACCAGGCATCGTTGCGTTTCCCCTGTGATCACCCTTTGGAGGACTGCAGTTTCACATTAGGGGCCATGTGTCAGTCACAAAGTTGACATAGTGAATCATAGTGATCTGAAATACCCATTCAAAAATAACAACACATGTACGGTAAATCAACGAGTTTCACCGCCAAGAATAAACCCCCGGAACAAATAACAAACCCAAATAATATATGAGACACCGCAGTTTTCACATTCTACCAGGGTTTTTCCCTGAAAGCTAGCATTCTTTTGTGGGGTTAGCGAAATATTCTCACTGAGGTTTAGGTGGGAAATCTTGGCTCAATCCTACCATGATTCTTGGGGATGAACATGGATGAACCAAGTGTGAATCCCAGGCATTTCAGGGTTGTATTCAAGTCGCGTTCACCCCCTGTTGGCTCATTGGATAAACTATACCAGATCTATCGGGGTTATATCCCAACTTATGACGGTGGTTATCCCAGAGTTCTGCCATGGATTGAAACCAACCGAAAAACCCACCGTAACCGTAACCGACTGTTACACCGAGCATCTCCAGCTCTTCAGCCTCAACTTCCGTACAGCCTGCCTCGGTAGGCATCTGCGAATCATGTCCTATGCATGTCCTGTATGTAATATATATACTAATTAACAGGCATCCTGGATCATCCCGGTTGAATATAGAACTGTCCAAACCTCCTCACTCAAGTGGAAAGATCTTTGAAAACCCCAATCTATCTACTTCTGTATATATATATATATTTCCATATATTTATAAATATAAATATATATATATATAGTTTTATTTATATACATACATACATAAATATATATATATATATATGCATATGCAGTGTCCCTATTGTGGGATTTGATGCACCATCTTGCAGATGAAAATACCCATCGAGGTCCCTACGGCACCCGCTGAGCGAAGCAAAGGATGCTTCAACAAACTCACGGGGAACTGTTCCTGACAGATCTGACAGGTTGTTCCGGCACCGGGCTGTATATGCTATATGATATATGACTATATGGAAAATTAGGGTTTGGGCAAAAAAACAACGGTGTTCAATCTGGTTATTTTACCAAGAAAAGTGGATAAACATGGTGGAAAATCACGATCAAACCAGGAAACAATGGGGATCAGGATGTTTTTTTATTATGATAGGTGATAGGTAAGCTGGTTCCCAATTGAGTAAGGCCCACCATTGATTGGTATCATCCCATTGCAATCGCTGGTTCCAAGGGGTCCGCACAATGGGATTTGGCATCTTGGCCCTGCTCATTTGACATGATGATCATCATATCCTGAACTGTTTTTGGGAAAACTACAGGATAGGTTAACCTTCCATTTGCTGAAAAACAATTTCGCAGGTTCTAGGTGAAATTTCTGACAATTACATCCCAGATAATTAAGCTTGACCATGAAAACAGGTGGTTTAAATATGTTTAAATGGCATCATGTGCCCGTTTCAAATTACCAGAAAAGCCTCTAGATCACCAACGCATCACCATTGTATCATTATCGTCTCTCTTCAAAGTTCCAGAATAGCCGTAATCATTCCATGTTCATTATATATCCTTCCATTCTTGTTGCTATAATATATAATGTGGCTGAGAAATTTTGATTGTAGCTCCTTAGCTCTGTTTTGTTGTTCATCCTCCGAACCACTGGGTAGATCTTGGAAATCCAAATCAATAGTGTAGTAAATTCCTGAACCTAGAGATGGAAGAATCTATGGCGCAATTTGTGTTGATTCCAAGACGCAATAGCCAAAGTTCAGATGAGTCATTCTGTGATATGATGGCTGACAAATCTATGGCGCAATTCATCAAAGTCATTCTGGTTATCAGTGTCATCATTCATTGCAGGTAATATCAATAAAGCACGCTCGATATCCCCTCTTCAAATTTGCCAGAATAGTCCGGGGACTATGTCTAGATACATAAATTACTTCCTACTACAATGTGGGGCCCCCCAGTTATAAATTGGTTTATAAGCCCCAGTAACTATAGTTATAAATACCATAAACCATAGTTATTGGAGTTATAAACCAACTTAGCTATCGTTGGGGGGCCTCACTTTGTATCATATTTCATTCACCTGAAGTCAAAACAGCGTCGGGATGATGCCCCCGATCCGAACACCATCATTCGACATATTCGACCTCGCCACTCTCCATCTTTTTTACACCAGGATTATATGGTTAATATATGTTTAATATAATCTATATATATATATTGAATATACTGGTTGGTGGTTGCTGCTAACCCCTCTGAAAAATGATGGAGTGAAAGTCAGTTGGGATGATGACATTCCCAATCTATGGAAAGTCATAAAATCCATGTTCCAAACCACCAACCAATCCATCATCATGACATGGGTTTTTTGTCAAAAAGGGAAAAAAACCTGAAAAAAAACTGAAATCACATTGTGTTTCATCCTTGACATTGATATGTTTCGCAAAAAATGAAGAAAAAAACCTGAAAAACCTTGAAACAACCCTGGAAAAACCCTGAAATCATCTGAAAACACCCCTGAAATGTGGCTGGGAGACCTCCTCTTCCACCTGGGGTGCCACTGCCGGCTGCACCAGCCAGGCCGTCCTTATGAGAAGGCAGCTTTCTGGGAAGTTGTGATGGAAAAATGTCAGTTTCTCTGGATTTTGTTAGTTTATAACGTTATATATATATATTACATAATATAATATTATATTATATTATGTTATATTACATTATCATATTATATATATATATATGTGTGTGTGTTTATATGGTTTATTTTCCTGTTTGTGGCTGGGCAAGAAGGAAACACATTTGGTTTGCCCAAAAGGTGGGGTGGATAACATCTCCAAGTAATACAGCAAAGTGAATAATCTATCTATTTATCTGTCTGTCTGTCTGTCTATCTGTCTATCTACCTATCTATCTATCTATCTATATATCTATCTATCTATCTGTTTATCTATCTATCTAATCTAATCTAATCTAATCTAATCTAATCTAATCTAATCTAATCTATCTATCTATACCATTCTATACCTATGTCTGTCTGTCTGTCCGTCCGTCCGTCCGTCTATCCGCCTTCTGTCTATCTGTCTATCTGCCTATCTATCTATCCATCTACATATCTAAATCTAGATACCGAACCAACAAAGAGGTCGAGATTGCTGCAACATGCTGCAACCAACTAGAATCCCATTCCAACAATAGGACCCACCAGGGGCCCAATCATCGGGTGGATCTCTTCAAATCCATAGCCCGTCCCCCGTGGTGATCTGCCCAAGCCGCCCGTTTTCGTTGCCGTCCAAGTGATGACTGCTTTGCTGTAGCTGTCTATTGCTGCCTCATGTTGAAACTCTTTATCTACTCGTTGATGACCATTCCCCGGCTGTCCTCACCCCCCAAAAAAAAGGTGCCACATGTCCAACGCGACAGCTTTCGGCTGGGGTTCCCCACGCACTTCCGACCACTTGCGGCTTCCTCAGGATGGGACGGTGCGTGGATGTTGAAACCAGAAACCAGCAATGCCGAGAATTGGTTAAGTGACATGGTAAATGTCCTAAATTTTATCACCCAACTATTGGGGACATAGTCTCGAAGAAATACAGTACTTTTGAGGTGATGTTCAACATCCCCAAAATAGGACATGGAAACCAACCCCTGACTTCACAGGACAAAGGATGCACCTCCTACTGAATTCTCTCGGGGAGTTTTCCACTTATAGCCACTTCCAACCAACGATGCTTGACCCATTGCAAGGTACTTACCCTCTGGTAAACTAACATAACTATGGAAAATCACCATTTTTAATGGGAAAATCCACTATAAATTGCCATTTTCAATAGCTTTTTGTATGTTTACCAGAGGGTAACATCCTGCTGGCAAACAATGGCCACCTGATCATGCCGAGGCGTTGAGTCGTTAAGCATTGGGTCTTAGGCGTTGGGTGCTAGACGCCTCCAGCGAATTCAAAATGCAGATTTCAGGTGGCAATGGAACTCCCCACATTTTTACATACCAAAATATACAGTAGATAGGCGTATACACAAAAGCACGCACACACACACACACACATACGGTCACATGCATATATATATATATATCTCTCTCTCTCTCTCTCTCCATCGCCTTGAGAAGTAGAGTTGATATGGAGGTAAGGATGCATTTTAGTTTTTACATTTTAGCACCGGAAGAAACAAAAACATATCCTAGACGCCTTTCAGTTTCGCCGAGTATCTCCCTTGGTCTCCCCAAGGACTCGAAATCAATTTCGACTTGGCTGGATCCTCCCGGTGCACCGCACACATGGTGCACCGCACGCAGCATTGCTACGTGCAGCTGATTGGTGTTTTTCTTTCTAGGGTTGCCAGGGCTTATTCAGCAAGCTATTTCGATCCTTTATATTGTAATTGTATGTAATTGTCCGATGTTTCGAATTTCCATTTGGTCCATTTGGATCCATTTGGCTGAATTCCGCTGTGCAATGATTCACTAACCTGAAAATATCTGAAAATAACTGCTATCGGTACAGTGGACTTGCAGTCGTTGTAATTCATCCAGATTTCCCTCATGGCTTTCCTCAGGTGCCATGAAGAAATCAACCAGGACATGTGTCCCCCAGGATAGATGTAACAACCGGACCATTCAGCAAAACATTCACATACCGGCTTTGATCCCCAAAATGTGTCGCTGCTTTTTTCAAAAAAACACCAATCCAGCATCATCAAAAACACATCAGTTAAATTCTGATACAAGTTGGTGTTTGGAAAATTCAGTCATACCCTCTAGTAAACTAACATAACTATGGAACATCACAATTTTTCATGGGAAAATCCACTATAAATGGTGATTTTGCATAGTTATGTTAAATTACCAGAGGATAATTCATGATTCAATATGATTCCCCCGTTGGTGACATCGCCCATGCCCAGGACCCCCAGGACTCCCAGGACTCGGTTCCTGCAGCCTGTGCCGCCTGGGCCGCTTGGTATTGGTCCGAAGTGGCAGAGATGGTATGAGATGGTGGGAAACACAGCTCGTTTTTCTAGCCTTGCTATACGCCACAAAACGCCACAAAACTCAGGTGCAGATTTCGTTTCTTTTTGTGCATGTCAAATCATGTCAAAGTCAGTGGACGTGTAACTCAATTCTGGGTCCCATCGCTTTTTCTCTTGTCTCCTAACATTGGTTTCGAAGTTCTCCGCTGACTGCAACCCCAAAGCAAAAAAGACCTATAGGATTCAACTGATTTTTCGAGCTCCACGAACCCAGATTTCTCCCCTGACTCCTCCCGACCTTTTTGGGGGCTGGCAGCCAGGATAAACTGCTCGCTGAAGGCAGTGCCGGATCACGTTCAGCCTGGAAGTGGAGCCGGATGTGGAGCCACGGGTACCGCCGGATCCTCAAGGATCCGAACGGTTGCTGGTTTCAACCATCTTGAAAAATATTTGTCAATGGGAAGGATTATCCTATATATTAATGGAAAATAAAAAATGTTCCAAACCACCAACCAGATAACATTTGCAAAGGTATTTCATCCTGGGGTGTTTGGAATTTCTAGCACTTTTGGGTGAGTTGGTCACATGGGTAAATCGGGTTTGATTGGTGTTTGGTAAATGACCAAAATCCACAATCCACATTCATCTGAACAATTTTTTGTAACTCACGAGCCTAAACGATTCAAATTAAGGCCATCAATCAGGGTGATGTCATGAAGAGTTCGCTGAAAATGTATCCAGAGTCATGGTATACTGTAGCCATGGAGATCATACTTCGGGTAAATGTTAGCGAATATAGGTCCCTATATATAGTATACATCTGTCTGTCTGTCTATCTATCTATCGATCGATCTATCTATCTATATCGTGGGGAAAATCACGAAGGTATGTGCAGTTTATGTCAAAACTTGGTCGGCCCATTTGGGACCGCCCCAAAATTGGGTAGTATGTTTTAGTGACTGTTTGAAGACAATCCCCTTTGTTGGGCGAAAGTCCGCCAACAAACCACTTTCGCCCATAGATGCCCATGCCACTTTCATGACCGAAAACCAACTAATGGTTCACCTGATGGTTAAGTTTTCAAATGGTGCAAATCTCGGAACTGCCTATGAAAAGGATTCCTTGACCAACAGTTCCGGCGATGTTTTTTACCTCCTCATCATGGGGAAATAAAAGGAGAAAGTGACCCCGGTTACATCCCAAAAATATATATAGTATATATGTATATACTTACATATATATATATATATATATATCCAGAATGTATATATATATATATATATATCCGGTATGTATATATATTTACATACATACACATATCATATATGAATACAGAAAACTGATATGGATCACCCCACCCAAGTTACGACCCACAGCTAGCACATCGACGCACATCCCTTGGCCCAAATTTCCCAGTAGCTGTTGAGGCTAATGTGGTATTTTCTACCCAAAAAACTATCCTCGATAGGGCGTGTAGTTGAGTATGGGCTCCATCTAATTATATATATACCCTCTGGTTATTTAACATAGCCATGGAAAATGGCCCATTTATAGATGGTTTACCTATTAAAAATGGTGATCTTCCATAGCTATGTTAAATAACAAGAGTATATATATATATTATTATATATTTATATTTATATTTATTTGGGATGATTAAGACGTTGCAAGAAGACTTCCGTTCATGGTCGGTTCCTGGGATTCTGATTTTTTCTTGGCTTCAGAAAATACAACGGTTGGTGAACAGAACTGGATTCCCCGTTCTTGGATTATTACAATCACCATATTGGATAGTATAATCCCCGAACTAATCATCAACCAACCATCCTGTATCAGTTAATATTCACTCATATCCCCATATGTTCATGCTTAAAATCCCATTTAAACTACTATAATCATCAACTCCAGGGGTTTTGATCACAAGTCGCTCCGACAAACCGCTCCATGCGCCTCCGAATCCGACGAGTCGGAATTTGGGGAGTCAGCGTTGCTAGCGGCAGCCATCTTCTCTAACTCCTGGGGAGACCAGCTGAGTTGGGGATGGTTTATAACACTAAAAAAACGCCAATAAAGATGTAAAGATGGTGACTTGGGGATGGTTTATGAAATTTGGTGTTCCACATGAATGATGATATTGGAGCAGGGGTGTGACCAAAACAAATAGGGACACATTAAACATAATTCAATATAATTTATTACACACACACATAGATATATATATATATATATAACATATACATACACACACATATATATATATAATCACATGTGTTTCTATTTGCACATATGTATATATATATATATATATGAATGAATGAATGTGTGAATTCATGCATGTGTGAATGTCCGAATGCAGGAAGGTATGAATGGAGAATGTATGTAAGTGCACATGCATTTGCAATGGGGACGGTCATTTACTTCCTAGTTTGATAATCCACCTGTGACCGGATCCAAAGCATGCTTATGAATCAGCACATGGCTGCCAGTCCGGGTGAACATCCTCCACATTCCTCCACCTACTTCACAGAGTTGTGGCTCACTGTCAATATATCAATATGTCATATCATTGCAATCATTCTAGATGATTGTCAAATATCAATAATATCATCAACTATCTGAAACGGCTTTGAATCATGTTTTCATCTTCTTCAATAAAGATGAGTGTAATGACTATTTTAGATTTCCAAGCATAGACCACCATGACGCCCAAGGCTTCGTACCGCTCCCCCGGCTGTCCCCGGCATCGGGTTCCGGTTGCCGCTCCACTGGCGCAGGTGCGGCACGGACAGGTCGCGATATGGGCAACTTGTCCAAGCCTCAGGGGGTGCTGTTTTAAACAACCGACCAGTTGGTTTATAACTCCAATTTCACTGGGGTTTATGGATATCATCACTATATCCAACCATAGTCAATTGGGTTTAGAGACCCTACCTCCAATACCAATTTCCCTAGGGTTTATATCTAATAAGTTAGTCTTAGTCAATTTGGATTATAACTCTAACTGCCACCTACCAGTTGGATTTTATGGACCAGTTCTGAGTTTATGATGGTTTATGGGCATTGTATATCATAACTATGTGTATATAAAGTTCAAAAGATTGCAATTATATGGTCGCATAAATAGCCCACCATGATTAGGGATTTCTTACGATAGGTATACATATTCACCCCTATGGTGTGACCATCCCTTTCTATGGCACATATGTGGCTGAGAACCTGGATCATCATAACCATACTGCGGATTGCCATAAGGCTATGGGTCAATACCTATACAATTTGTTAGAAGATGAACATCCATCTACCAGCTATTTTGATGTTCACCAGGGGTGCAGGGTTTCGACCCATCCCCATAATGTGCCATTGACCTGATCACTGAAAGTCACCTCTATCCATGTGTTCATGTGGCTCATCAATCCCGCTAGTGGATTTCATTGTAAAATCACTGGGAAATAGTAATGGTCATTTAGTTGTATTTACCGTTTCTATAGTAGCGCCAGTTTAACTTTGCCACTTAGTAGCTTGCGACGTCAAAACTATGCAGAAAAAGTACAATCCAATTCTGAAATTTAGTGGGCAAATATTTGGAACTCTGGCATTTTGCGGGGAGGTACCCTCCCGTAATCAAACATTGCAATGGAAACGCCCTTCATGCACTTCTATGGTTTTCCCATGTCAATGCTCATTTAAAAGGGGTTTCCCAGCTGCCATGTTTGATTTCTGGAGGATAGGAACTGCCTGGAAAAGATTCAGAAAAGTAAAATCCAATTCAGAATAAAATTTAGGCAAGTAAAATATAGTAAAAATTATCAGCCCTTTCAAACACTGCATTGGGTAAAACAATGCAACATGTAAAAAGATTGAAAAGTGTACTGATCAACTATATATTAGCGAAGAATTATGAACATGTCTTTCCGCTGAAATTAAAGTCCATTTTGTGGTGTAAAAACCCAATTGACCATAGATATGATAATCATAAACCCCAGTTGCTTCTTTTACCAATGTTATTGGAGTCATCATGGTTTACAAAGGAAATCTGGATTATAGTCATAGATATAGTTTTCAAATCCATAACCCTAGTGAGACGTGTTCATATATAAAATTAAATAATAAGTTGTTATGTATTTATATATATATGGTATTGGCCTTGGAAGTGGGCACCGGCAAATCAAAACAACGAACTGGTTGTGGTATTTGTTCAAGCCCTCCGTCTTGTATCATCACATTTTTTCATTGATTTCCCATACTAATACATCCAATAACAAAGGGTTCGTTTGATTTCCCAAGATTGCATGTCCCAAACGTGGAAATCTCTCGCAATGCAACTTGATTGGTGTGGTTTCATCATATTTTTAATATTGATTCAACTTGGAACGTATCTTGTAAAACAGGTCTTGGGTCAAAACCAGTAACCCCCAAACCCTGGTAGACACGGTCCAAATCTGCAATTCTTCTGAGATTCCCGGCGCACGACACGGCGCCTGAGGAATAGGGCAGGGATAATCCTGGAACTCTAAGCTGGGTCCATGTTCCGCTTGAAGCTTATAGTATCTAAATCTTGAGTTGAAATAAACCATGAGATTGACTAGAAGTTAATAGTTATTATATAGCTGGAACATTGTTTGGATCCAATATGATCCATTGACTATCACTAACCATTTAGTAAAGCTTATGTAGTCTCGTGGCCCCCGCCTTCACAGGATTTGATGAAATCGAAATCAAATATACAATTATGGCCACATGGCAAATGATTTTCTGAATTGACTTCGGGCATTTGTAATTTCCTAATTTCCAAATCAAAAGAATCTTGGAGTTGCTGTAAGGAACCTCGATACAAATTGCACATGATTTTATCTGGTTGGTGGTTTCAACCCCTCTGAAAAATAGGAAAGTCAGTTGGAATTATTATTCCCAATGTATGGGAAGTCATAAAATTCCATGGTTCCAAACCACCAACCAGTTATTCACTATAGATTCACTATAGATTCCCCATTTCTAGTGGATGTCCCATTGGGAAAATCAGCGGGCCAAAGCCCCTTGGCCTTTTGGCTTTGCCAGCGGATTCATCGCTGTCATAGCCATCCACCAACGCCATGTTTTGCGTGTTCGAAAAGGCTGGATGTTTACCGGAAAAGCATAACTGGTTGGTGGTTTTAACCATGGTTAATAGTGATTAATAGTGGTTATATAATAGTGGTTATTAGTGATTAATACCTGATCTAATGAATAATATATCTGGTTGGTGATGCAATAACCATCTTGAAAAATATGAATTCATCAATGGGAAGGATGACAACCCATATATGAAATGGAAAATAAAAAATGTTTGAAACCACCAACCAGATAAGCAAAGATAAGCGTCATAGTGGTAGAATAAATATATGTCTGTAAAAATTCTCCACACGAACGACATTCTTTTCTGAAATTTCAACCAAATATGATTCATTGAATAAAACCATACCTTTTTTTTCGGTGCCCTCTGTAAAAAAATAGTTCTGTGGTGTCAACATCCAGCTGATTGCTGATGACACCCACAATTTTTTGTCGCTGACAAGCTGTCGATCAAAATCAAATCGCGCCAGGCATAACCAGGCTGTGAAATTCATTCCTACCCTCTTCAGCGAGAACAAACAAAACCGAAAAGAACCTGTGTAAGGGATACCCTCTGGTAATTTCATATAGCTACGGAAAATGGCCCATTTATAGTGGATGCAAACCTATTTGAATGGTAATTTTTCCATAGCTATGTTAGTCTACCAGATGGTAGCGGTGATTTCCTTCATGTTTCAACCGGCCTCCTTGAGTCGCGGCTCTTACCGGCCTCCTTGCAGCAAGCTCACCGACGACTCCAGGAACTCATCCCCGAATCTATTAAACACCTAATAAACACCCTCTAAATGGTTCCAATGATCTATAAATATCTATAAATATCTATAAATATCTATAAATATCTATAAATCCACCATGGTTTCTGGGGTGTGTTTAATATTGAGGAAGGGATTAATGCACATATAAAGCATGCCCACTTTACGCGTCTTCCTCCAGCCAACTTCCATAGCATATGGCAACATGTTCCCAAGACCTTGCCGGCAATCCATGCAGAAACCGGCCAACGAAATCACCGTATATCACCGAAACTAGGTACAGTATGGCATATCGTAAGCCAATATGATCCAATTTGTACACTATATAGACTATATATATATGTGTGTAATATATCTTATATCTGTGATTGAGCTTGTCACGTGATTTGCATTGATTTACCAAGTTCCAAACTGTCCCCCCTTGCTGTGGCAATTCAATGGGCCACAATCAGCCCCAAATTAGGATTTCTCCAGGGGACCCTTCGATTAGCGCAACTGGCTGGCCCAGGCTTTGCAAGTTTTCCTTCAAAAACTCAAGCTGTTGTGGGATGGCATGTCTGGCGTGATACCAAACAAAATGAAACAACCGGCAGCTGCCGGACCCTCTGGTTCAGAGGCATGCGTACAACATCGTACAACTGCTCAGTAGCCGTTCTCAATGAGGCGCTTCATGAAGGGAGTGATGGAGCCCTTGCCCTTGGCAGTCTTGAACTTGGTGGGGTTGATGCCGAAGTACAGGGTCTTGGCAAGGTCCACTGCTGCAATGAGACCAACCAGGGCAACTACAAAGAGAGCAGCGATCTGACCATCGGTCAAGCCATCTTCCTCTGGAATTGGCACCACCAAGCCCAGCTCCTTGGTGCGCTTGCCCCCTGGCACTCGGGCCAACAGGATCTGAGCATCGGGCATGTCATAGGCCCAAGCTGGCAACGCCATGGACCCCGCAGCCACTCCTGCCGCAACTGCCGGCGACACAGCCGGAGCACCCTGCCGGGCAGGAACGAAAGCTGAGGGCAAAGCAAAGAGTGCCACCGCGGCTGCCGCCAGGGCGAGGCACTTTGCCATCAACGACCGGGCCATGGCTCAAGCTTGACTTCTAGCTGTTCGACGTATTGAGCCCAAAACCCTCTTGAAGATGCAAAATATGAGCTACTCAAGCATACCACAGGACAAATTGCTTCCCGACACTCTTTACATCTCTTTACTGGTATCAAGCCAAAGCCAAGTTCTCACAGCCAAGCTTTGTCACAAGTGACTCAAAAGCTTCAGTCCACTGACATACTTGCAACCGCTCTAGCCCGGCAAACCAAGCAATACTTGGACCTTAGACATCTACGGAGAGAAACTGAAAAGACCGGAACATCGAATGAGGCCAAACTAAATTGACAGGATGACAATTGCCTGTACCCTACTACCAAGGGAAGAACATGTTCCCCCTTTCAGTTTGCATAGACTCAGGTTCTTTTTTCACTTTCTTTTCTGACCATCTGAAGTCCTATCATCTCAAACCAAGACCCAGTGAGCAGCACAGACTTCTTTTCTGCATATGACGTTGTTCCTGTGAAGTCAAGCCCTTACACCCTACAATGCGTGCACGGCCGATGGGACATCGGCCTAGACACACTGTTGCTCAGTAGCCGTTCTCAATGAGGCGCTTCATGAAGGGAGTGATGGAGCCCTTGCCCTTGGCAGTCTTGAACTTGGTGGGGTTGATGCCGAAGTACAGGGTCTTGGCAAGGTCCACTGCTGCAATGAGACCAACCAGGGCAACTACAAAGAGAGCAGCGATCTGACCATCGGTCAAGCCATCTTCCTCTGGAATTGGCACCACCAAGCCCAGCTCCTTGGTGCGCTTGCCTCCTGGCACTCGGGCCAACAAGATCTGAGCATCGGGCATGTCATAGGCCCAAGCTGGCAATGCCATGGACCCCGCAGCCACTCCTGCCGCAACTGCCGGCGACACAGCCGGAGCACCCTGCCGGGCAGGAACGAAAGCTGAGGGCAAAGCAAAGAGTGCCACCGCGGCTGCCGCCAGGGCAAGGCACTTTGCCATCAATGAACGGGCCATGGCTCACTTCTGAGGTCTTTGTTTGCAACGTCTTGGTCCAAAAACACTGGTGTATCTTCAGAGATGCAGGCTGGCGAAAAAACTTATCCACTACAGTAGGTGGTCCCTCCCGAAAATAGTTGGGGGGGCAGAAATCATCCGCAACAGGGGTTGGATTGAAATTAGATATATCTATAATCTATATATAGTCACAGTAAATGTCACAGTATAATCCGCTCTCCTGTTGCCTTCATATTTCCTAAACAAATACTGATCTATAAATTCAACCTCTACCTGTGGCGTACTTCGTTGGCATTTAACAGCAGTCCATACTACTGCATGTGCTCCCCATCAGTACTTCCCTTTCCGGCCACTTGCAATTCTGCAATGACAGGCTGTAAATGTTGTCAGTTATACAGTAAATGAACATGTTTGAATTTCAATCTCACACACAAACACACATCCTGTTGATAAACGAAACTTGGGACTTCACAGCTAGGCAGCCATCCTCACCAGTGACCATACTGCAGAGATGTGCAGCGTAGATGGCTCCCAGCCATTGCATCAACCCAGGGTGTTGAGATGTTTTAAGGGGGCACCAGGTTGGAGGGTATCTACTGACCAGGATGGGCATCCCGGAACGCACCTTTTCAAAAAAAGCAGGCCTCATCCAACATGGGTTTATCCTAACTGATCGGCACTAGCCTTGCTCAGCTGTACGTTCAGCTGCTCAGTAGCCGTTCTCAATGAGGCGCTTCATGAAGGGAGTGATGGAGCCCTTGCCCTTGGCAGTCTTGAACTTGGTGGGGTTGATGCCGAAGTACAGGGTCTTGGCAAGGTCCACTGCTGCAATGAGACCAACCAGGGCAACTACAAAGAGAGCAGCGATCTGACCATCGGTCAAGCCATCTTCCTCTGGAATTGGCACCACCAAGCCCAGCTCCTTGGTGCGCTTGCCTCCTGGCACTCGGGCCAACAGGATCTGAGCATCGGGCATGTCATAGGCCCAAGCTGGCAATGCCATGGACCCCGCAGCCACTCCTGCCGCAACTGCCGGCGACACAGCCGGAGCACCCTGCCGGGCAGGAACGAAAGCTGAGGGCAAAGCAAAGAGTGCCACCGCGGCTGCCGCCAGGGCAAGGCACTTTGCCATCAATGAACGGGCCATGATCTGCTTTATTGTGATGTTCTTACAGTTTAATCTTTGGGCCCAAAGTGGCTTCGTGCAATGAAAATGTTTCTTCCAGTCCTGGAATCCTGCTGCAAATCATTAAGGATATAGTGTGTATATATTTTTGTATAGTTATATATATATGTGTGTGTGTGGAGTCATCTTATCTTAGTTGTATTTAGCTGTATTTTTGTATGTTTTTTTTATTTTGGGCCGTCAACGGGAAATCCAACAAAAAGGAAGAGGTGCAAACGAGAATAACAGATATCTTTCACGTCTTTCTTCCTTGAACTTTGCCGCAACATAACAAGAGGGGTTTCACAATAAACAACCTTGAAATAGAATGTAAAAGACCAACGCAAACTTAAGACTGCAACTTAGTCGCGACAAAGATATGCGACACAGTGCTCAACACCAACTTTGAGAAAAATATCTCAAGAGTCGTGGCCACGCTTTTTCCCCCGGTAGCAGACGAATTTTGCAAATATCTTTTTGCGTTTTGATTGAAGCAATTGGGTTAAAAACTGAAACAGACCTGTTGATGGCCGAACCAGCCACCATCCAACAAATCCGACACAGACCTTGGCTGAAACAGCCACGGTTGGAATACCAAGCCGACTTCAGCTTTGGCAAAGTCATCTTTGGCCCCTCTTTCTTAATATGCAATATGGGCGGCCCACGAGATCCCCACTTGCTGCATTTCAACTTGCGGTGCTTCTGAAACCGCTTTTCGAGCCCCAAAGTTCCAACTATCCGTATTTGGACTAAGGGCAGGTCTCTTTCAGCTTGCTTGATTTAAAGGGTCCTTAGCACTACAGAGTGCACAGCTGGCTGATTCTGAGTTAGCTTTCTTGGGCTGAAACAGCTGCAGAAGGAAACGCCTTGAAATTGAAATGTGTGAGCTTTTTTTAATCTTCGTTGCACCTGTTATAAATCAATTGCTGTTTGCTGAACTGAGTCTACAGGGTGTCTGCAGCTGCCGCAACGCATGTTTATCCACTTTTCCACTTGTCATTTTTTGCATCTCACATCCGACTTTGAAGACAGCACCCCGCCGCAGTCTATGTGGCTAAGATCCGGCCCTTTCCAGCTGATCTGACATTGGTCGATGCCGCGGTGGCATACTTGTGGCCAAAGCAGCCACCAAAAGCCGAAGCAGCTAAGTGGCCGCAGCAGCTACAGCTACAGTAGCCGAGACACTCAGTTGCCACCTCTTTGGCGTAGAGATGGTGTGGCCAGTTTTCAGCCACAAGCTTCCGTGAAGTGCTTGAGCCGAGGCTCCTGAAGCGAAGCGGATCTCAGGCATGCTCCTAAGGAGAGGACAATTCGTCCTGTCCTTAGGAGGTTCAAGGACGTCCCCGAGGCTCCTAAGGAGAGAAAAACAAAGGGACAAAGGCCTTTGAAAAACTCATACTTAAGAGTATTCCAGTTTCGTCCCCTTGTCGTCCTCCCCTTAGGAGGTTCAAGGACAACCCCGAAGCTCCTAAGGAGAGGACATTCCCACCCGTTGATTCGAGGTCCGTTGAATTTTTTTTGATGCTCCTAAGGAGAGGACAAAAAAACACATATTAAGTAGCCAAGACTGTCTCCAAATCAAAGCTTTCGTTGAATCTCCCAATATTTGTGGGTAATCGTCTCTTAGATTCAACCCATTGGTAGATTCGACCAGAAACCCAAAGTCTTTACCCTGACGCTTCAACCCACCCCAGCCAATTCCTATTTTTGCGAGAAGTCCATCGCGACCTGCTATGTACAAAAACTGACTAAGTATGTAACGCAGCTTCAAAGTGAGAAGTCGGAACAGCGTCAAAACAAGCCAAAGCAGCTTTGACAGCCGGAAGCAGCTTACCTGATGCTGCAAGGGCTTGGCTGAAACAGCTACCGCTAATGCCGAAGCAGCCTCACTTGAGGTCAAAATTTGAAAACACTTCGCAAGCAGGAGCCGAGTCTGAAGGGCCGAAACAGCCCTCCTCGCTGCGTGGACATGCTGAGCCGAAGCAGCCGAACAGCCACCGCCCTCCTGAAGCTCCAGAGCCCGCCTTTGTCCTTTCATGCTTTTGGAGAGTTTTTTTTGCATGTAAATGGGCTTTGTGATTTCATTGTTTGCTCAGACGCTTGTCAATCCGCTTTGGCTAGAACCCTGCAGTCAACACCCCATGGCGTGCGCAACCAAGTTCCCAGCTCTGGGTGATGATACGAAATACGGAACTGTGAGCCCCATTTCAAGCCCAAGACATGCCACTTGGATCGAAGCCATCTGCCATTGCAAAAGCAGCAATGCTGCTGTTGTGCTTGACAGCTACTGACCCAAATTGCAAACGAGAAATAAAAATAAACCAGCAATAATTTCAAATACCTCTTCAGCTGTCTCGACGAGAAAAATTGAAAGAGCCAATGGAAAGTGAAAAAAAGTGTACGAATATGTATGATATTTGCAAAGGAAAGGACCAAGGAAACAAACAACATGTTCCGTACATGTCTTAGATGTCACAAGTTAGGGTTGCAAAGGGTATTCCAAATCAGCCATTGTTGAAACAAACGAGATTCTCAAATAGCTTAGCCAAACAAAAAAATACAAAAAAATATCTCAGGCCCCCCAAAAAAATAAAAAATACAAAAATACAGCTAAATACAACTAAGTTATTGTTATATTTGAATCGTTGAATGCTGATTGAGGCTGGAGATACCTTGCCCTTATGCTTGCAAATGCCCTGCAAGAGTCAGCAGCAGGGGTTGGCAACGGGCCCCTACCACATAATGTTGATGATCATCCATGTCCATATGATCTGGCAGTCTTGGTGGTTCTTGCTACGGAAGGGTGCTTGTGCTTCTATGGTTGGTTCGAAGCATAGGGTACCCATTTCTGCTTGGTGGTTGCAGCCACAAAAAAACTTATATAGTCACTTCGGAATGGGATCGAAAACATACAATACCAAGTAAATCATACTAAATCCACCCCTAGTTTTGAAGAAAAAACACTTATCTAAGTTGGGACGATTTCAAGATGAGATTGACTCTCAGTAAGCACACCCAGTGAATCAGCAAGGTTTTTGTTCATCCGAGGTGGCCTTTACCTTTGACTTCTCCAAAAATTAAACTCATTTGCATTTGCAGTTTTCCAAGCGTGGCTAGCTCCAGAGAATCTGAAATACATTTTTAGCCGTGCATCGTACCCCATATAGGAAAAATGACAATGAGCTACCGAATCAAGAGTCAGTCACTCTGCGGCTTTTTCAAAAACGCGGAACTCACCTCACAGTGTCTGGTCTCAGCCACTAACCCCTCCAATCATCGGCGGAAACCACACACCCAGCTGATGGTTGATCAGCAAATCCGGTGCCAACAAACGAAAGAACCTGGGTCAGGAAGGTGCTCAGTAGCCGTTCTCAATGAGGCGTTTCATGAAGGGAGTGATGGAGCCCTTGCCCTTGGCAGTCTTGAACTTGGTGGGGTTGATGCCGAAGTACAGGGTCTTGGCAAGGTCCACTGCTGCAATGAGACCAACCAGGGCAACTACAAAGAGAGCAGCGATCTGACCATCGGTCAAGCCATCTTCCTCTGGAATTGGCACCACCAAGCCCAGCTCCTTGGTGCGCTTGCCTCCTGGCACTCGGGCCAACAGGATCTGAGCATCGGGCATGTCATAGGCCCAAGCTGGCAACGCCATGGACCCCGCAGCCACTCCTGCCGCAACTGCCGGCGACACAGCCGGAGCACCCTGCCGGGCAGGAACGAAAGCTGAGGGCAAAGCAAAGAGTGCCACCGCGGCTGCCGCCAGGGCAAGGCACTTTGCCATCAATGAACGGGCCATGACTCTTGCGGCGGTCGGAGGAAATCTTGGGCCCGAAAGTCTGCATATGAAACTGTTGCATGACAACTTGGTGATGCCCGATGGATGGAGCCATGGTCCACATGAAGGCCACCAAAGCCTGGTAGGATAATTCATGTCTTCCCCAATACGACCACGGATCACGGTCATTTCAATATTAGATCTAATTTAATAGTATGATAATATGTTTAAGCATTACAGTATCTTATCTGTTTCTCACTTGTTGTTTGATAATCCGTGAGGTCTGGAGGACAGTCAGAAACCCTACGGGTTGGGCACTCCAAATCCCGGGACCCTGCCTACAGCCTAAGAAAACTTCTGTGGGAAGCTGGTTGGTGGTATACCTACCCCTCTGAAAAATATTACTCAGTTGGGATGATGACATTCCCAATATATGGGAAAATAATTTTCATGTTCCAAACCACCAACCAGAATTGCTTCTCTTCCTTTTACCATTTTTACCCTATCCTCAGGACCTATTAAAAACCACACGTCTCCATATTTGTACTGCAAGGCTTGATCCTGCGATGTGTCTTGAGTTGTCAAACCTTCCAATGTCACTCTGATATGGACACCTCCAGCATGACATCTAGATTTTGGATTCTTCCATTCTGAGCAGTCTTTTTATGCACTTGCTGCACTGATGCCGCATTGGACTCAGCTTCGTCCTTTCAAAAACGTAAAGTCCAAGAACGGTCGAGACAGTGCAACGACACGCTCAGTTGCTCAGTAGCCGTTCTCAATGAGGCGTTTCATGAAGGGAGTGATGGAGCCCTTGCCCTTGGCAGTCTTGAACTTGGTGGGGTTGATGCCGAAGTACAGGGTCTTGGCAAGGTCCACTGCTGCAATGAGACCAACCAGGGCAACTACAAAGAGAGCAGCGATCTGACCATCGGTCAAGCCATCTTCCTCTGGAATTGGCACCACCAAGCCCAGCTCCTTGGTGCGCTTGCCTCCTGGCACTCGGGCCAACAGGATCTGAGCGTCCGGCATGTCATAGGCCCAAGCTGGCAACGCCATGGACCCCGCAGCCACTCCTGCCGCAACTGCCGGCGACACAGCCGGAGCACCCTGCCGGGCAGGAACGAAAGCTGAGGGCAAAGCAAAGAGTGCCACCGCGGCTGCCGCCAGGGCAAGGCACTTTGCCATCAATGAACGGGCCATGTCTCTCCCTCTAACGGGCTTTGTCTGAGACGTGTCTTTGAGCATAAAGAAAGCTGAGAGGAGTCACCTGTTCCAAAGGATGAGATGCCTCACCTCAGCCATGAAAAGTAAGAAAGAAAGGCTCAAGGAGAGTCAGGGCTTTGCCATAAACTTCCCGGCGGAAGGGAAACCGCGCGAGCGTTTTGATTGGTTGCTTCCAGGAGAGTCACAATCACCTGTAATTTACAATATAAAATGCTCTTCCGATCAGTTTGGATAACTGAATTTGGGTTAAAAAAAGTGGATGCAAAATCTATTGATTTTTAACAAATCCAGGTAAACATCATGTCACGTAGTAAACGATCCCAGAGATCTCAGCAGCGTAGCAACATGTCACGTAGTAAACGATCCCAGAGATCTCAGCAGCGTAGCAACATGTCACGTAGTAAACGATCCCAGAGATCTCAGCAGCGTAGCAACATGTAACGTAGTAAACGATCCCAGAGATCTCAGCAGCGTAGCAACATGTCACGTAATAAACGATCCCAAGGATCTCAGCAGCGTAGCAACCTGTAACGTAGTAAAAGATCCCAGAGATCTCAGCAGCGTAGCAACCTGTAACATAGTAAGGAAGTCCCAAGGATCTCAGCAGCGTAGCAACATGTAACGTAGGAAACTATCTCAGAGATACCAGCAGCGTAGCAACCTGTAACGTAGTAAAAGATCCCAGAGATCTTAGCAACATCGCAATATATCCTGTACGAAGTACAAGGAACGTTAACATGCCCCCCCCACCCCACCCCACCCCAACCCCCAACCCACACTAACATGGCAATATATCCTGTACGAAGCACAAGGAACGTTAACATGCCCCCCCACCCCACCCCACCCCAACCCCAACCCTCACTAACATGGCAATATATCCTGTACGAAGTACGAGGAACGTTAACATGCCCCCCCACCCCAACCCACACTAGAGATCTCAGCAGCGTAGCAACACGTAACGTAGTAAAAGATCCCAGAGATCTTAGCAACATGGCAATATATCATGTACGAAGTACAAGGAACGTTAACATGCCCCCCCTCCCCACCCCACCCCAACCCCAAGACAAAGAGCAATACTCAAAAAAGAAGCAAAACGCACGTACGGTTTTCCTGCCGTAGGCATAAACTTGGATGAAACGGACCATGTACCCTGTGGACTGATTGGGTTCCAATCAGGCCAAAAACCCTCCAAAATCCTATCCATCTCCCATTGGTTGTTGCAGATCAGCTGCTGCATCTGGCTAATTAATGTTTCAGCAGCCTGAAATAAGGCTATTTAGGGGTAACCACACCCGCTGTCCATAATCTATGGTGAGGTCGCTGTAAGGTTACTACATGTTGCCATACTTCAGCCAGATGTATCTCCCATTAGTATCACATGTTTAAACGTTAAAAAAAAAACTCCACCAAACATTTTAAAATGTTCATAAATTCCGACTTATAGAAATCATGATAAGCACTATTTCGAATTGTTCAAATCCCATTAAGCCGTGTTTTTAGTGATCTGACACTTGGTTCAGTAAACACATGTAAACAACCTCTGTGGTTGCACCTGCTGAGGCCCTCCACAGTTTTGTCAGTTGATTTTCACGCGCATGAAAAACTTATATGATCTATATCCTATACCCTCTGGTAAACTAACATAGCTATGGAAAATCACCATTTTTCATGGGAAAACTCACTATAAAATGGCCATTTTCAATAGCTACGTTAAATTACCAGAGGGTACATTCCCCGAATCAACCGAAACGTGAAGCAAGTTACTTGCATCAACGTTAGCTGTCGGATAGGGGGGTCTCACCTTGTGGTGTCCGTTGGGAGGTCTCAGCATTCCACAAACATCATACCTGTGGAAAGCCGGATACCATCCTACCACAACAAAAGAGCCGGGTATGTATACACGAATCCCTTCCCCATCCCCCCTTTATATACCGCAATATTGACCATATATTATATGGTTCAATACAGTACTTCGTCATTTTTTGGGGCCCAGTCAGGAGGGGGGCATTCAGAAAATCAGTATTCTGTAGGGGGATTGGGTTAATCATCAAACATTATTGATCCATTGCTCAACCACAGCTAGGTAGACAGATAGAAAAGTAACGTAAAATCCTACTAAAATAGTGGATTATGTTTGGCGAATTACTTTTCTATCTTCTTTGGGGCTTACAATTAGCAACTATAAATATATATGTGTGTGTATGTGTGTATTATATGTATATCAAGCTTTACAAAACACACATACCTGCACAGAAATACACTATACAAATACATGCGTAATTGTGGATAATCAGTAAATAAAAAGAGTATAGTGTTATCATAACCATGAACGCAGAAATTGATCGACCAACGTGCAATAACGTGCATTAATTGCTGTTTAAAGGCTTTGCATGCCACTTGCTGCAAGTGACCCTTTTTCTCACGTGTACTGCCCAAAAACATCGGATGGTCGGACACCTTGCTCGTGCCACCTATCCGAACAAGCTGCTCAGTAGCCGTTCTCAATGAGGCGCTTCATGAAGGGAGTGATGGAGCCCTTGCCCTTGGCAGTCTTGAACTTGGTGGGGTTGATGCCGAAGTACAGGGTCTTGGCAAGGTCCACTGCTGCAATGAGACCAACCAGGGCAACTACAAAGAGGGCAGCGATCTGACCATCGGTCAAGCCATCTTCCTCTGGAATTGGCACCACCAAGCCCAGCTCCTTGGTGCGCTTGCCTCCTGGCACTCGGGCCAACAGGATCTGAGCATCGGGCATGTCATAGGCCCAAGCTGGCAACGCCATGGACCCCGCAGCCACCACTCCTGCCGCAACTGCCGGCGACACAGCCGGAGCACCCTGCCGGGCAGGAACGAAAGCTGAGGGCAAAGCAAAGAGTGCCACCGCGGCTGCCGTCAGAGCAAGGCACTTTGCCATCAATGACCGGGCCATGTCTCTCCCTCTAACGGGCTTTGTCTGAGGCGTGTCTTGGGGCCAAAAATAGCTTTTGAGTGCCATAGTGATAGTGTGCGCAAAGACACCATAGATCATGGTAGCCTCGCTGCGGTCTAAGGGGCGTTACAACTCCTTCTAAAATTCTAAAGAATGCCTCAGATTGTCACTATCACATCTTCTCTCATTGGTATCTTTCGGCCAAAGTGTCAAACTGGGCGCTTCTTTGAAACCAGTAATGCACCGAAACGTGAGTTTTCATGCTAAGCCATATGTGCATTCCCCCTGGGTTCCCTCAACACAGGGGTTTCAATATTCAAATAGTGGAATTTTGGATGATTTGCTCCCCTATTCTATATAGAGACCCTCCATACGACCAGTGGCCAGCCCTTCATCTCTGTTCTGAAGCTGGCCAGCTCACACCACACCCAGCCGGAAATTCACAACCTTTTGAAAGAACACCAAATTGCAAGTTGGCAACAGGGGCACTGAATTGTCCCATTCGAGCATCATGCAAATCATGGTGATATGATAATCAAATTAATTACATGGTATGATACGGTATGATATGATCATATTGTGATTGTTATTATATGATTTGATATGGGTGTGTCAGAAAATGTGGTATACCTCCAAATGAAATTTTACTTTAGTTGGGAAAATAATCATTGAGCACTGGATTGGGGGATACTTTATTTCAACACATCCCCATATTCCAAGCAAATATCTTGAGGCAATGAAAACACTTGGGACATGTGTAACTGTAAATGGGCCCCTTCGCCAGTCTTTGGTTTCAGGATGGTTCAACAGCTTCAGAATCGAGTACTGGCTTCAGAATTGAACAAGTGATGCGAAACACGCTAGGGCTTCAAGCAGATTAAACCGTCACAGCCACAGAACTTCCAGGAGTGACGCTTCAGGATTCTGCATCAGCTACCTGGGCTACCTCTTTTCCAAGACGACGCCTTGACCATCCACGAAACGGGAAAACACAGCACTGGACCAGCACTTTGGGTGGTCAAGATGCACCCCTTGAGGGTGTCACTATGTGTCACTTTTTGGTGGCTGGATTGCCCCTGTTTGGAGGCCCAACATTGGTGATTTCCATAACCAAACTCTTAAAAAATGGAGTTACCCTCTGGTAAACATACAAATAGCTATCGAAAATGGCCATTTATAATCATTTATAGTTGATTTACCCATAAAAAATTGTAATTTTCCATAGTTATGTAAACGTTTACCAGAGGGATCCAGAGGGTAAACGGAACCGACATGAACCGACTTTTCAATGACGGCCATGTATGGCCACGTCACGTCGCCAGGTTGATAGTCGTGCTCACCTGAGGAAACGGGACTACACATGATTTTTTGAATATAAAAATCATGAGAAAACACAACAACTCCATTGATGGATCATTATTGACCCCAAATTAAAAATAGCCGTAACTTGGTGGTATACCCCATTTACAAGCAGAAATGTCCTAAGAAAAGGCTGCTACAAACACCAGCAGCACTTTCCAGGACCAAATCCACGTTTCTCTGGGCTGCAGCAGGCTCGTGCTAGATGTTGTTGCATCAGATGACGGGTTCCCAGTGCATTCCTCGGAGAAGTGTGTGCTGTTTCGTTGAAACCACGAGGTATCACCCCCCAACTAGCCCAGCCATTCTACCATTCCAATAAGGAAAACAATTATTTTTAGCACTAAATATCCCTCCCGATTTTCAGACAAAGTTTGATATGTTTGATTAGATTATCGCTGAAACCGTTGCGTGGGTTTGAAGAACCGATTCTTGGAATCATGTCATGGCCCCTGCGAAAAAATCAGCGGTGGACATCTGTGGCTGCCATTGAAAGAAGCCACCCAGACGATCCAGAAATGGGCGCTGTGTATATTTGAGTTTGGTTCATCCCAATCATCTCCTCCTCACCCATGGCTGCTGAGCTGCTATGCAAGTGAAAGATGAACACATGTAGTGATGCCTCGGTAGTGATTTCAACCCATCCGGATCATGATCCTGGGCTTTTACGAAGTATGGGTGGTTCCAGCAATTTTGCTGATTCATTGGCCTGGGCGAGTGTTTTTTCCTTCCAAGAAGTTTTCTTCCCCTGCACTAGAGACAACTCTGTCCATGGATATTTTTAGCAGCCAATTTCAAAGGATTGATTTTGTTTTGAACATCGGAAGCCAGGGCAAAATCCCAAAATAAAAAATGTGGCATTGCTCTACGGTTCGAATTTTCCATCCAATTCCAGCACCCAGTGACACCTCTGGGCGTGGTACCCTGCTAGCCTCATTGTAGCAGCACTGGCACGAAGGCGTCGGGTGCGCGTCATAAAACGACGTCCGCACCACACCCGTCCATCTATCATCGGCGTTGGCAGTGCAAAGAACATGACAAAGCCAAGGGAAGTCCTGGCAATTGACGTTGGATACCTGAGGTAAAGCTGCAAAAATATGTTGGAAAACTCATGGTGGAAACCGGTCGGGAAATGATCTACAGATGGTGGGGAAACTCCACATCGAAGTGTTAGTTTGCAGGAGGTTATGTTCAATGCTTCGCTTCGGAATGTGGAGCTTAAACCGCCAACAGTTATCACACACACACATATATATATATATGTGTGTGTGTAATATATATATATATATAAATTGATTGTTGATTTTTGTTATATAACATTTATACAACTAAGTTGGTCACATTAGAGTTTATGGCGCTTATAACTCTGATGGGATAAACCAACTTCTCAGGGGTACCATCTAGTGGGACTAGGAAACACTCGCCATTGAAGTGGCACAGGCTGATACATCTGAACAGCCCTTTAAATATCAGTGAGAAAACAAAACAACCTTCCATACAAAGGAATCCGACTTCGAATACTGTAGGCAAGACTTTTCGTTTGAGACAAGAAACAGATGCAGCTGTTGGCAATGCAATCTGCAAAACGCGGATTGATATCATCTCGTTGAGAAGCTCTTGGGGAGATGTTTTGCTCAGTGTTGTAACCAGTGTTGTGATGCAATCAATTTAGCATGCCCTGCAAACATACAGTAGCTATGGAAATCCAGGGGGTTCCTGGATAGCTATGTTGGTTGGTTTCTTGGGCGTCCTGGGCATTTTTTTTCTCCCCAGAAAAATTCGGGTACAATGACAACAGAATCCTCAAGCAGATTATTTCTTCCATTTGGGGACGATGTTCCCAATCCAATTCGAATCATATTCGAATCATCTATGGCATCTTTGGTTCGGTCAAATGGGGCCACATTCTTTTACCCCATATGGAACAGATTCAAGCAGTACCATGTTTTCATCCAAATTCATCATCTTTTCTGGTTGGTGGTATACCTACCCCTCTGAAAAATATGAAAGTCAGATTGGATCATCATCCCAACTATTATAACTATTGGGGAAAACAAAAAAATGTTCCAAACCACCAATCAGCTAGTTAGTACCCTCTGGTTATTTAACATAGCCATGGAAAATGGCCCATTTATAGCTGGTTTACCTATTAAAAATGGTGATTTTCCATGGCTATGTTAGTTTCCAACCAGTTTTGGAAGACATTTCATGTTCACCCCAAACTTGGTCTCATGCAGCGGAACCACCAGGGCCCAGGTGACGCAGTTCATCCCCAAGGAACACCCCAGAGGCTCTTGATCGGCCGAATTCTTGGGGCTGCAGCTCCAGTGAAAAGTGCTCATATAAAACCATGGTCGTGGGGGCTATATCAGCTATATCCCACCCTCTGGTAAACTAACATAACTATGGAAAATCGCCATTTTTTAATGGGAAAATCCACTATAAATGGTCATTTTCAATAGCTATGTTAAATTACCAAAGGGCAACTCTTATTCCAATTTATTCATACCCCGGACTGCACCCCAATTTATACCATACTACTATGTCACATATGTCCCCATGCTGAAAGAATAAACCACAACTTGGGACGGGTTTATGATGATCCCACACGTGGAAAAGGAACCTCTGTGGGTCAAACACTTTCACAACGAAGACCAGAACTTGAAGCCGTCATCACAACTGCTATTCGCTGGGTCCCAGCCTGAATTTTGGCTCCACTGTGTGTATTGGGTGCAGAAACCGCCTCAGAAATTTCCGACAGCAGCACACAGGACTGCGTGAGGACCACATAGCCTAAGCAGAGATGACCCGTCCCAGATGGGCAGTGATCCATAGACATGGTATGTAATAGCTCAGCTAATAGCTTAACTAATAGCTTAGCTAATAGCCACAAGCCCATAGCCAGTGGCTTTGTTTAGACTCCTTCCCACTGAAAAAGACTTCAAGGCTTAGCAAACGAAGTCATGGTCCTGAATGGGAAAATCCATGTTCCATTGCCAATCTTAGATACCCTGCAACAAATTAAATTCTTTGCTGGTTAGTAGATAATCCCATTGATACCAAAAGATAAAGGATTAAAGTATCCAATGTAAGATTGACCTAGGTCCCTGATGTTCCTGTGTTGCTTACAAAACCTTCGGCTTTTTGATGACCTGCTGAAAAGTGAACTCAGTGAACTCGTCGTGAACTCGTAGCCGGAAATGTGTCAAACCCATCTAATCAGAGCATCTCATGGATATTTTGGGACATTCTGCACAACGTGTAGTCTTTAGTAGGGAAAACCAAAAAAAAAAACACCTCCATGAAAGTGGCAAAACACAACATCAAACTACCCTTCACCAATCTGTCTATGCAGGAAATTATCCATGCCAATTGATCTTGTTGGATCTATTTCTGGTGTCAGCACATCAAGCTATCTAGCCAACCAGACGTACCTGACTCATCTGTATCACTCCCTGTGTTTGCAGCTTAATGCATCGCAAAACAACCATGGTTTATAGGGCTTAACAGAAAAGTCAAACAGTTTTTCCGGGTATATAAGTGTATATAATGAATATATATATATGATAGTTACCTCATAATTCCCAGTTCTCCAACTTTCCCGCGTCTATGACTTGGGGTTGCGCAACCTGACTAAGGTCTGAGCAACTGTAAGCGATCGCTGAAGGGTGGAGTAGCAATGCATCTTCACACGCATCTTGCGAAACCGGCGAGGTGAAAGAGCCCTAGAAGCTCGGCAACACAACGGGGTGACTGTGGTGTGGGATCTCCATCATATTCCATATACTATCATATAATGTTTGTGTATTATATGCATATGATATGCATATTATATGCATGGAATGTCACCAAAATTGATATCCTTTGAATATGTCCAAAAATTATTTCCATATGTACTTCCAGGATCTTTGATAGGTGAGCTCGGTGACCTGGATTATCTGGATTCCCCCTTTCCTGGACGCCTCGATGGAAAAAACCACTTCCGGCTTAACCAAATTTTGTGACACTAAAAAAGCACAAAACAGTTGCAAAAACATTGAAAAGCACAACTTCCAGTTAAATTAAGACCGAATTAAGGCCACATCAAAGTCAAACTAGGGCAAAAGCCATGTCACAGAAAATCACAAGACATATATTCACACCCATCCAATTCATAAATACAACCAAAACAACCCGACTACATTGGGAGAAGTAGACCAAATAGGACGAAATTAAAGATCTTCACCCACAGAATCTGGAATATACACGGGAACAGTTGAATAAACGTGAAACACGGCAGATGCCACCAAAATTAAGACTGAATTCGAATAATTTGGCAAAAATTAAGGTTTATTTTTGTTCATAACCTTATAAGGCCTTGATAAGGCCTTCTTAAGGCCTTATTAGGGCTTTATAAAAGCATTAATTCGTTTTCTGGGAAGGGGGGGCTAGAGGGTGGGTTGGGTGTCTACGAATATAGATACCCTCCAAAACAGTGAAAACATGTCATTATCCAAAGACAATTTAAACTGGACATTTTCTGTGATTGATTCGGCACGATGCGATATGTGTGGCTACAAATCACCCAAAAAAAGTGCAACCTCCCGGAAAAAAAAGTGGGGATATTCCCTTACATAGGCCTTGCATAGGCCTTATATATGGTAGGTACCTCCAATAAATCGGTTCCTAAAATGGCCATTGAAAAACTGAATGAAAACGGTAGCGAGACTCAGGAATGGTGGCGCTTCCAAAACTGGTGTCGTTCTTGCGGATCAGGAGATCAGTGGGAGACTCCTGAGTCGAAAAAAAAATCCGTGCTGATCACCATCCCCAATGATGTGTTCCCCCAAAAAAAAATCCCTGGTTTTTTGTGACATCAGCATGGAAAATCACGATAACCTTACCCTTTAAAAGGGTTAAATCATGGGACTGTTTTTTGGGCCATCTATACCAGTCGTCGCTATGTTACTTTGGGGGATCAAGGTGGTTTTTGGGGTTGCGATGAAATATCCCTGACTTTTGGCTGATGACTTTTGGGGGCTTAGTGTATCCCTATTTTCTTGTGGAGGTAACTCAGGGGAGGCACCTGTAGGAATTCCATCCTGGAACGGATGGACATCACTCGCCCCACATCACCGCGCAGCTTCCTTTTCTATGTTGGAGGTTCCTGATATCACAAATGAAGGGAACTTAAACAGAAACACCTTAGAAACCACCAACGATGCAGCAAAAAACACGAAGAAACATGGATAAAGACATCAAATATCAAAAAAAAATGCAATTCGTATCACGAAACCTCAGGGGCGACCTCAGGGGCGACTTAGGCCACCCAGACAACCTGGGTTGAAACATGTTGAAACCCAAGCTGCTCCATAGACCAGCACGAAACTCGTGGTGGAACACCCGCAGCTCGGTCCATCGCTACGTGTGGTGCTCTCCGTGGTCTCGGTGCTCGGTCCGTCCGCCAAGGTGCGGGTGAGGCTCGCAAGGCCGAGGACCAAAAGGACGGACATGGCATCGAGGTGGTTTCTGATGATTTCGAATTTTTGTAACAACCCCAAAAAAAAGAGAGATAGACTTATAATGTGATTGAAAAATTGATTTATCACTACTACATACCATTACTATCTATTACTTCAGTTGGAGGGATTTAGTTTGATTCTTTTTTGGGGCACTTGAAAAAACGATGTTTATTGCTACCGCCGGCGGTTGACGCCATGGAAATCTAAGGAAATATATATCCCAGTTGCTGAATGTTGCTGACCTTTTATGGGCTCCTATGGACTGTGGGCCTTAAAAAATGCATACTGTACATGATTTGTTACATATGTTTTTCATGTATAGCAAGACCAAGTCATAGATGCCGGAAAGTGGGAAACCTGGAACTATTTGGTGAATAGCATAAAGGGACCATCCTGAAAGCACTGTTCTACCCTCTGGTAAACTAACATAAACATGGAAAATCACCATTTTTCATGGGTAAATCAACTATAAATGGCAATTTTCAATAGCTTTTTGTATGTTTACCAGAGGGTATCTGTTTGGGGGTGCTATATTCATTAAATCTTTCAACGTGTCGGCATCCAGAAGTCACGTGGCGATGATCCAAGCGTTATGGGCCCAATGGTTTCCCTCAGTGGGAAATCACTTTATCCAATCATAAAATCCACATGGGATAACATAATCTGGTGAATATACTGTTAATATTAATGGTCAATATACTAATGGTTATTATATGGATAATGATGGTTAATAAAAATCTGGTTGGTGGTTGAGCCCTAACCCTCTGAAAAATGATGGACTGAAAGTCACTTGGGATGATGAAATTCCCAATATATGGGAAAAAAATCTTCCAAACCACTAATTACTAATCAGATAATGAAAAAAACAAATGGAGCACTGAGATCAATTCTCCCAGAAGTTTCTTTTCCAAAAATCACGGGAAGTGGGGAAGAGTTTCGGGTGAATTTGAACGCAAATCCCCATCCAAAAAAAGCACGAAACAACAACCCAAACAGCTCGCATCCATGAATCACGTGCGATTGGATTTCGGCCGAGCCCCTGGTTTTTCAAGATAAAATGAGATGATTCCGATGCCCCATGGATAGGGTTAAGCCCATCAACCCTGATGCAAGGGGTGAACTTCTGAAGCCCAGTTGTGGGGCACCTGTTGCGAACCTTCCCTTTCTTTTTCATCGCGACTTGAGTCCTTGTTCTGCAAAGAAAATTTTGGCGAAATGTCTCTGGTTGGCGCTTCGGAAACACAGTGAGAAAATATCTTGCTGGAAAGCTCCATCGTGACAAAACCCAGTTCCTGTCAAAAGTTAAACAAACCCGGCCAACTCAGTGATACACACCAATTGCCTCTTGGGATTACAAAGGTAACCTGTATGTGGTGTTTGTTCTTTTTTCCCGGTATGTCACTGGTGGCAAAGTCATCTTGTAACGAGCAGATTCAAAGGCTATATTACATCATGGACATGCTTGTGCACGGCACATAGAGTCTTACAGGTCAAACCTGGGATAGGTCCACAGAATTGGTCATTTGAGTCTAAACCATCCATTATCTTGAGGGTTTTATACCGTGAACATCAACTGCAGCCACCAACCATCAACTGTTCTGCCCGGTCTCAGCTGCTCCCAGGCGTCCAAAATATGCATCCAGGGGCTGAAGCTACTGGGACCATCATGTCCCAGCTGGGCACAAAACAGAGGGGCCCGCTTGGGCATGTAAAATTGACTGCATCTTCAATTCAAGGGGGTTACTCCGATAATAATCCCTTCCCCTTTTTTTCAGATCATTTTCCCACTAAAACATGGATTTTCCCATGGTTTTTGGTATATGTTTAGTGTACTGGAGGGTTCCACCTGCACCCACCTGGTGGGACATTGGGAAACCTGTCAGGGCGCCTTGGGCGCTTCAGTTGAAACCCCCTGACTGATAGGACTTATAGATGTCCATCACCCCAAAAAAATATGGTACTATAGATTTCTATAGATTCTCATTCATCATCATACAGAAATTCATTGTCCGGAAGTTGTTTTTTTCCGGACTGCTTTCAAGGTCCTACCAGCCGTGGTCGCGGTCAGCACTGCCGTCCATAAAGCTTCCTAAATCAGAAACAAACAAAACTTTCTCACAGCAATCAGCCCCTTTTTTTACCACGTGGTGAATATAAAAAAACCCATAGGCAACAGATTGGTCTAAACTTTGGGTTTGCCACACGCCAACTTCTGCATCCCAGACTGCGCAAGCTTGACCTTCTGTTTCCACGAGCTTGATGAATTTACCCAATCAAAACAGTACCAAAACAGCTACAGTATCTACTCACAAGGAGTTTTAGATAGTGATAGTGTCTACATCTAAATATATATATATAATATAAATATTATAATGCGTTTAAACATGATTTTATGCATCGCCCCAGCCCCAGTTCGGGTAATCCTAGCTACGGGCCAGCATTTTGCCTGCCCTCTCTGTCAAAAACCGCTGCTTGTTGCCGTTGCCGCGCGACTCAAAAGGATTCAAAAGGCGTCGGTCAGCAGCTGGAACGGGTTGCCGTGCTGAAACTCCACCCCGAACGCTGTGAAATTTGCCTTGCTAATGGTGGGTTGAGGTATTCAACCCTCATATAAAATAGAATAAACTATATTCAAGAAAATTAATTGAATTATATATATATGTGAAGATCACCCCCATAGATAATAGAATCACACATATTAGAAATTATCTATTAAATGAAGATCATGATCCTAGAATTGAAAATTGAAAGTATTTTAGGGCATCAAGCTGATGAACAAAAAGAAACAGGCGATCTCTGCAGAGGATCTGTTCAAAAGGGGGGGCCGTGACCGGCCGGTTCCCACCCGATGTTGCTCTGAAAAAACAGGTGACGACTAGAATCCAACACGCAACTTACAATGAGAAGATCCAACTTGGGAACATATTATAAATTGATATAATGTAACATATAATTCAAATAAATTATCTACTCCAACTCTGGATACAACCAGCCAACAAAGATGCAATGTATATTTTAAAATATTATAGATGCATATATATATGTGTGTGTGTGTTCCTAATCTATTATCATCCAAATATCTCCAACTAGAATGTTTCCAGAATCTATCAAAATGGTCACAAAATCTGGAATCTTTCGGAGTTCCATGGAGTTCCTCTGTCGGATCCCTGCCTGTCAGAGTTTGGCTTCCGCAGCCTTTCTTTTGTGCTGGGCTTTTAAAATCAATGTGCTGCTCACCTAGGGCCGGCTAGGGCGCCGCTAAACAGGGCGATAAAGGGATGGATCAAAAAAAATAATGGAAAAATCCCAAGGATTTTAAGGGAACCACAAGGGTACATAAAGGATCATAAAGGTAGCTGCTGTTACTATTTTCAGACGTCTTGTGAATGAATGTTGATGATTTGATCCTACTCCGTTCTCTAACGATTGGACTCCGATCTGAATCACCTTTTCGCCAGCTACTCACCAATTTTGAGATGTCCTATCGTTCTACATCGCTCTACGTTTCTTTGGGGCTGCTATACTTTTGAAAAGATAATCAGATATGATGAGACAAAAGAATTGATCAAAAATTGAACAGATACAGTATGATAAATTTCAAGTCTGTCCAGATGTTTCCGTATAACATCCCATTAAATCCCCATAAATCCCCAAAAAAAACCAAGCCTTCCATCGATCTTGGCGCCAAGGCACGGTATACTTGGACTCCAAGCCTTCAATGCAACCCTCCACCAAATCACCGATGGCCAAGGGCCCTAAGGATCCTGATGCGCACTTGGATCAAGCGGGGATATACTCACCAACAATTGATCTATTAGACATTGAACACTTGGAAAACTTATGAACAACTTGAATCATGTTCATGTCATGAAAGATTGAGAGAAACATGCCCCCATCTTTGAGGGCCCATCTTAATATTCAAAACCGTGTTTTTCTCTTTCGATGGTTTTTCCCCGGCACATCTTTGGGGTTGCAGGTTGCATGCTGAAATCTCGAGGGCCAAATGTAGACAAACAACACGCAGTTCAGGTTCTGCACTTACTTTGCTAGGCAGAGATGATTGCATTTGAAACGTATATGTCTTCACATTGTGTTTCACTGGGAACTATTATTGCCATTTGAACCGATTTGAAACATGATGGAATAATTAGTTGTTACTGACAATGATTCATCATAATTTCAATTGCCATTTGAACCATTATATCCGAACTGGAAACTATTAATGATCATAGTTCTTACTGACATTCTGGATATTGTGTGTCAATCACCCGGATTCTGAAGGCTAACCAAGACCCCGTCTTTGTTGGCCTTGATTCGAGTGTTTTTGTTGCCCAAGATCTGGACGTGGGTCGCGTTTTATGGTGGTTACCCGGCCTGGTAAACATACAAAAAACTATTGAAAATGGCCATTTGTAGTGGATTTACCCATTAAAAAAAGTGATTTTCCATCGCTATGTCTATGTTAGTTTACCAGAGGGTATATAATCTCTGATTTTCTGTGGTCCACGTCAAATCTCTTTCTGGGTGGGGTGAATGCACCCCCGACATTTAAGACATTTCGATGTACCACAGCATAATCAAGCAATGCATGTCCTCCAGTCCTCCAAATGGAAAAGTAACCATGTGTAGATCATTTCGAAGGGAACCCAATGTATTTTCCATATTCAAATGTTTACCAGGTAAATCTCAAAATCTTCGCAGTGAAATCCCAATCAACTCCATCTGGATCCACTCCATGGCCCGCATGGCCCGCACGGCTCCTGCTCCCGTCAGAAGGATGTCCCCCCGCTTCAGAGGCGTCAGCTCACTGGCCTGATTCAGTGAGGTGCTTCGTTCGAAAAAATCACGCGGCTTTTCGCTGGGCCTGTTCTGTGCAAAACCACAACTGTTCCAAATTTTCCTAAATGACCCTAAATTCATGGATCTATCAATATTAATCCAACTGTTGTGGGATGGGGCGACAAACCAACAGAGGTGGGGGCTGAACACCATTGAAAACCCGGCGATTGGATGTGCATCTCAGTGCATCTCCGTAAATGGCTCATTCAAATCCACCAGCCCAAACCACCAAGTAATCATGGTTGAAATTTTCAGCATGCCTTATATTAAAAAAAAAAAACATTGCCCAAACAATCCCTACCTTCAGAGATGGAGTTGGAAGAAACAAGAACACACACGCACAAGAATTCTATTCGGTGATGGTCGTAATGGCCACCAGCTTGATCCAACATCTCTTCGTGCAATTCTACCGGCGCAATAAACCATGTATTCTAGACAAACCGGCAAACCAAACAGGGATGGGTACTGAGAAAGTATCTGGCATGCGTTCTGAACATATATGTGCATTCATGTATGCAAATGTGTGTATATAATGTGTATATAATGTGTATATTGTATATATATATATATTTATTTATTTATGTGTGTGTATGTATCATCAGATAGACATATACATATATATATATACACACATATACACATACATGTATGCAAATGTGTATATATGTATATATTATGTTTTTATGTTTGTTTGTGTGCATACAACATCCTTTCCTGTTTTGAAGGTTTCCGCCAATGTTTGCTAAATATGTCAAATGGGTCACTGGTCACAACCCTACAAGTTCTAGTGCCTATACAAATGTAGTGATAAAATATGATAAAATTACAATAAATTACATACAGATACACAGATAGGCAATCGACAAACAATTGATGGATGGATAGATAGATGGATAACACAGATAGATGGTAAGACAAACTAAGCTAAGCCAAGCGAAAGTAAGATGGATAGACAGACAGACAGACAGACAGACAGATAGATAGATAGATAGATCAATAGATAGGTAGCTAGGTAGATAGGTAGCTAGGTAGATAGGTAGCTAGGTAGATAGGTAGATAGGTAGACCTAGAAACGACAAGCACCAAGGATTTCCACCAGGCCACATCCGCTACTTGTTCTGCGATGGAGAACTTCATCCGATTCGTGGCATCTTGCGCCACCGTCTTCCTCAACACAGTTGCCGGTTCTGCGGGTGCAGCGGAACTGGTTCTGCAACTATATAGCTATCAAATGCTATAACAAGGGGTTATCCACAAATTAAGTGGGTAGCTATAACTACGGGTTATATATGGGGTTTTCCACAAATTGAGTAGGTAAATGTAGGTAACCATACTTCTTTCGGGCTTATAAACATCTATAAACCCCCCCATGCGCCGCGGCGCCCATTGACGCGGCAGATGATCGTGGCGGCTTCGGGCTGGGGCAACATGGACTTGGGAATGAAGGCACCCACCTGCGTGGAACCCCCGGCGACATCAACCCCGATTTAAACGCGGGGTCTATGTTAACTTGGGGGGTGGTAGAGCCATGAAAAATAATAATATATATATATAGAAAATAATCCTTGATTCATGGGGGATGCTAAATAACGACTAGATGATCTAATGTGTACATAGTTGTAACTTGTAGAGATGGAAAATTAACATCTCTATGTCACAACAATAGCAACTATATAACAGTTGTAATGGAAAATGAAGATGCAACATAGACAATTGCTGATTGGACAGGTGTAATCTGTACACAACTAAGTGATAACTCAAAATAAGTCATCTAAATATCTAAGTGGTAGTTTTTTGCCCCAAATGAACTGGTCATAGAAAAATAGATCTGGTGGAGTGCAGGCATTTTCCATGCGAATGTTCATGGCTATATAAATCATTACAGGGTTGAAGAAGTAAACCCAATGCCGGGTTTACCACCCGAATGAAACGGCACTTGCTACAAATGAGTTATTCTCCCGCAAGAGAGAGAGAGAGAGAGAGAGTTTGGGATCTTGCAAACTTCAACTGAAACTAAGTGCGCTTGGTTGCGCTCCTGCCCGCAACCTTGTGAGCTGATTGCAAAACTCTCATCACTCATCAACCATTTGACTTTGTCAATACCACTGGCCACCTCAATCGTCAACAACATCCTCCAGACATTAATCCCGACAGATCTTGTTTCTCCAACTGCTGATGTTTTCCCCTTGCATTTCTACATTCCTAGTTCCTAGTATCTTTCACCCTTCATCCCCAATATTCTCGACATTCATTGGCACGTTTTTGCAGCAGTCCCATCATACATCCACCCGGCAACGAGTGACAGTCTTCGCCCACTCGTCGAACAACAGGTGATTCCGCTGTGACTGCTCTTCAGCAAAGTGCAGCCCGTCGGCCAGGGGCGCGCCGTTGGGCGTCACGACGGGCACAAAAGTTCAGCTAAAAGTCCCGAAAAGGCAGCTCGGAAGACTTCGTGGTTACACCGTTACACCCTAAAAATGGGACCAGGATGATCACTTTTCTAGTTGCTTCTGTCATGGTCCATGTTGAATCTTGGGGTCAATCGCATGCATCAATGTGCCGGGCATACCCATGACGATGCATGCCACAAGTCCATACCATTCCCATTGGCCATTTGCTAAGTGCGGTGGGAATCTGCCGGAGTTGTAGTTTTGCAGGATGCCTGGAACATCTTCGATCCAGGCACAGGTCAAATCACGTGCGCACGAGGAGGAGAAGGGGCAGGGTGACAAGGGGGGGAGACAACAAAGCGGTTCTCCATGTATGAAATACATTTGTAAATACATCAAGGTGATTCAATGTGTACTGGTATGCGTGTATGTCTGCCATGAAACAAAACCTATATCATATAACTACACATGTACACGAGAAAAATTACGACACTACCAGGTACCGGACCATGCCTGTCCACAAGGATGGTGGCACTATTTCAACAAGTCCAGAATCCGCATGCGTTGTTCGAAAAATTCGCATGTTCGTTGTCTGGAAGGGTATGTTGGCTGCTTTCACCTTCTGCACACCTCCACAGAGGCAAGAACATGTAATAAGACATGCCAAACGGTATCATGTGCTCGATGCCAAATGAAAACACACTTTGGTCGCTTTCGGGTACTGTAGCCATTTGCAAGATTAGCCTGTGCAAACACCCCCTGAGAGACCTTGGTTTTAGCATTGGAATTCTTCATTGTGGGGGGTCTTATGGTGGTGTTTCATGGTATTTCATGGTATTTCATGGTATTTCACAAATCTTGGAAGGGATTAGTATCCAATCTGTGCTCAAATCTTGATGATTTATCAGATTCCCTCTTTAGTGGCTATGTTGTACACCATACTTTCAATTTCAATCACACCCACTTTATAACATCATGGTGATTCATCAGCGAATCAACGGTACTCTCTCAACTCATTTGCTGCTGCTGGGGCTTTCAATGTCTATGCAGCAGCGGCCAGGCGCCGCGACGCGGCCAAATGCAGCTCGGCCCATGCCGAGATCAAATGCGAAGAGTGATGCGAGTTCAAATGCTAAAAATACGCCAATATGCACAAGGATCTAACCAATGGAAAAATGTGCTGCAATTAGGACTGTAAACATCAGCATGCATATGTCCGTGCATATCACTTGTTACATTTTATGACTATGTAAATGATTGCACATCTAAATGCAAATCTATTTGCACATGCAGATGCACATGAATAATGAATATGAATATACATATGCTGATGCATGCGTTTATACAGTTATGGCAGCACATATCTATATGCATATTCCACCATATGTCTATGTATTTACGCATTTTTGGATACATAAATATACAAAAACATCCCGAACCGGAAACACTGCTCGTAAAAGCACCTTTTTAAAAAAATAGCTTGGCAGTGTAGCGAAAAACGATTTTTCCATCCCAAAATCACCACAAAAATGAAATCCACAACTTGGTGGTGTTCGCGTTTTGCCATAGACTAAAACATGTTTTTCCAGAAGATGCGCCTCAAGGTTTATATGGTCTTCTTTAGCCAAGTTGGCATGGAGGTTGACTCAGGTTGACGTACCTCCACTGCCAAGACTGCCAGTAGAGCAGCAAATCGTGGCTTTGAGATGACAAAGTGTTGGGAAAGTTATTGAATGCAGACCATACAGCATCAGTTGTGCCCTTATGACAAGTAATGATTTTTTACATCCGTGAAATACCGTGTATGTGAATTCCCCCTTGTGGTGGGACACACGCTCATGTTTGAAAATCCGTAAGACAAGTGAGTAGCGTAGCATGAAGAACGTGGTTGGAAGTTGTTGGGGCAAGTTATTAACATCGCATCAAGAACGTAGTTGGAAATTGTTGGGGCAAGGGACGTTAAATGCCCAACTCGCCCTTCTCCACCAAAAGCTTTGTTCAGTCCGGAGACACAAACTTGGCGTCAAACACACATACATGATCATACATGCACGTATACAGAGACATGTGCATATATAGTTGGGTATACATCATCATCTACATCATCATCATCATCATCATCATCCTCGTCCTCATCGTCATCGTCATCGTCATCGTCATCAGCATACAGGTATACTAGATGTGTGTGTGTATAAGTGTGTACGTGTGTGTCAGGCTTACATGCATCTTGATAGGAATGTACACTCAGGTGCCACAATTTACACACACACACAGTTGTATGTGCATGTTTTTTGTGTTTTTGCATGCTGTGTAAAGCAAGATTTTCAAGGAACCAGAAAAACACACACACGCACACACACACACAACACGCACACACACACACACGTATCTATATATCTATATATCTATCTATCTATCTATCCATCCATCCATCTATCTATCTAAATATCTTAGACTTTTCTATAGATGTTAATACTAAATATATTGCTATACTTGTAGTTATATATATATAATTTTATTATATACACATACAAGTACATACGTGCAGTGCCCAGACATGGAACATGTTCAACTAGCGATAGAGAGAACCTTCAAGTAATCAAAAAAGCCAATGGAAAATTCCCCATGAACGGAGGTGCTAATCATCGAACTATATCGAACTAAATAGGGGTAACCACCACTTTCTAGTTGCCAACTGTCCGGCTATGTGTGATCCGAAATTCAGGTGCGGTGCATCTGCTCATCTGGCCGCATCGGCACAAGAGATTACAGGAAGGGAGTCGCAGCGAGGTATCCGCTGCCGATTACCTTTTTCTTACATGAGTCTTACCCCCAATTCACACGATTGTCAGCCCCTAGGTTCACCAGATCTTGGCGTAAGACCATTGTTATGCAATCATTTCAAACTGTTGATCCAACTCCCTCCATGGTGAAACAGGCCGCTTGCTGCAGACATCCGGGCTGGGCATGGTTCGCATCACTTGGAAAGGATGGCCAGCGCCTTCTCTCCCATCAAGTCGCCCATCTTTTTAGCCTAAGCGAGACTGCGACTGTCATTGGGGATCATCATCGAAAGCAAGATGGAAAACATAAAATTGGTCAAACCACTGCCACCTATTAAATCAATAGTTCAAATAAACCTCATGAACTCTTTCCCGCAGCGAGGACCACATGCCCATCCCCCCATCCCCATCTCCCGTCCGGGCCTCCGCCTTGTCCTCCTCCGAGATGTCATCCCAGCAGGCGTTGGGCGTGTCATCCTTGCAGTAGGCCGCCAAGCATCGGCTGATGCCGACACAGCTGCAATTAAACTCGCCCACGATCCTGCAGCGAGACAGGTGAAGTCAGCCTTCCTATGTGGTGCTGGTGTGAAAGCATATCCATAGAATATAAACCGGTTGGTTTAAGATACAAAATGACAAATTATTACGGCTTGAGTATTGTATAAGAATGAATTGTATAAGGGGACTCGGATCCAATGCGGGCTACATATTTTCAGATATACCAAGGACATAGTACTTTAAAAATTTGAGGGCCCCTGGGATAGGATCGCCAAATTCTTAAGTTACTATTGATACGTGCGAAGCTGCGGCCTGGGCAAGCATAGGAAAATCACCAAACCAAAACAACAATGAAGGTAAATTCTGTCACAATGAAGTTTTCAGGCCTGCGTGTGTGTTTGCGAAAACCACGTGGTGTGATTGTGAAAGACAAACGGAAAGCAAACCAAGAAAAACACATACAGGCAGACTCCAGAGGTCGCACGCCATTTTGGAATTAGTGGCGCGCACCGGGATTCGAGCTCATAACCTGCGAGCCTGAAGGTCGGCAACCACAGAGCCACAGGGCCCTTGCCTCCATCTGGAAGGGTCCAAACAGCCCACCACCCACCTTCCCGGCATGTGAAATTCGTATCAGGGCCCATCAGTGGCTCTTCAGGGCCTGTTCTTTCTTTTCCTCTTCCGCAGGCATGGGCGTAGTTATATAACGCTACTTATATATATATATATAATACAAATAAAAATGTTCTAAGAATCTGAGGGGCCCTCGGCCTATTAGGGTGGAAATTTCCCTGCATTTACAAATTAAAATTTGAAGGGCCCTGGGCCTCAAACTTTCGGATTCTTAGGGCTGTACCTTGTAAGTTGGCTTTCGGACTTGTTGAAATATAACATGGTCTTGTCATTGAGATTATTAAGGGCTACTTGGGGATGCGTGGTGGGATACAACCATATCTATAACCATCTAACATCATATAATACAACCATATATAACCCTGATACAGCGCCCTTTAATATTGAGATGTGGCAATCCACAAAATAACACGTTGATTAAACTGGATAAGTTCAAAATTCCAAAAGGCAGCAATACTCCACTGAATATTGGAATAGTTAGGTGGATATTACCAGGTACAGTAGTGCCCGGCCGTGCTGCGGTTGGAAGTTTCGAGAATAAAAAAATTGCGGGTTTTTGGGAAATCCATGGCCTAAAGGAATCTTTGTGATCGCAACAGAAATGGAATGTTGAGGCTGTCAAGTGCATCAACGAATGAGTAAATGGTTGTTGACATGCCAATGAAATGACATGAAAGAATCGATCTGGGACTGACTGACTGACTGACTGACCGACCGACTGCATGCATGCATGAAAGAATGAAAGAAGGAATGACTCAACCACTGAATCAACGAATGAATGAATCAATGGATGACTGAATGAACTAGCGAACGAACGTGCGTGAGTGATTGAGTGAGTGACTGAGTGAGTGAGTGAATGAATGAATGAATGAATGTGTGAATGAGTGAACCAATGAAAGGATGAATGAAGCAATGAATCAACTCATCTTCCAAAAGTGCCCCGACCCCCTCGGTTTAAGAACGTTTTAAAATGCAAACCGAGCTCTTGCTACAGTCTCGTATACTTGTCCTCAGCATCGATGCTCGCAGCTGCGGAAACACAGACCCTACTTTCGTGGCCCCAGGACTCACCATACCTGTAAACCACAGGATTTCTCGCCTGAAAGTGTTTTCACCGACGAATTCACACCCGACCATCGGCATTTGGAGGATGATCACACTGGATGAGAGGCTGAAAAACAGCCACTTAGTTCACCCATGTTTTTTAAGCGAGTAACCACCGGTAAATTAACATGGCTATGGAAAATGGTAATGTTCAATAGGTGAATCAGTAACTGAATCATCTACAAATAGGCAATTTTCCACAGCGTCAAATTTCCGGAGGCCATATGGAATAGCCCAGCAAATTAGGGTCTTACTATTTGCAGGGTTGTCAATCAGTTGGCTTCCCACTTATCACGATGAATGATGTGATATCATGTGATATCCCCAACGCAAGAAACCCTTTCTTGATGGTATTTGCAGTTGGATAGGTGCTTTCAACATGTTTGATGTATCCCCATGCCTTTGCCCCTTTGCCCATCCCACATCCTGATGCAAAGCAACAAGCTTCTCTTCACGTAGCCACAATGCCCCACAAACGCTAAACGATTTAGCAGTGGATTTACCACATTGCCGGGATAGTGGTTACGGACTTTCTCAAATTAGGGAGAAAAAAAAGTATTGGGCCTGGGTCACGTTGAATTCTGCGGGGAACTTGAAGTTCAGTGAATGGGATAGAAGATGATAGAAGTCACTGAATAAGACGGGGCGGCGCATTGTTGATTGTAGAAAGGGGATTCTCTTGAATGTGATGAACACAGTAGTCAACCATCCCCAATGGTCGGTATTCGCCCAGGTAAACTCCCCACTTTTAACCAGAGTCGGTTCTGTGACTCCTATCCTTTTCGCCCATGTCTTCAAGCAAGGCTCCACTTCTCTTCTTCAGGGGCGGTTCCTGCTTTGGCATACAGTTGGACCGCATTCTGTTGCAAATCGGTTTTTGTATTTTTAGGTAGGTTGCATCTCGCTGTTGTTGCCCCATAAATCTCCAGTGACTGCACCCCAATTTTTTGGGGGGATATTAATGTGATAACCCATCATCTTCGCGTCGCTTCAAATCTCCATCGTGACGCGCAGAAACACGCTCAGCTGTGGTTGTGAATCCAGGTGCGACGGAAATTCTTGAGTTCTTCACTGGGAGATATTCGTTCTTTACTGCAAATATGATTCAAAATTAGGCACCTACTTCGTAACCACAACAAGAAGTGGACACAATGTCTAATGACCAACTCTTGAATGTCAACCATTATGAACATCATAAATCATAACTATAGACATTTATAGACACGTTGCTATAAGAATCCAAGACCCCTGCGAATTTCTCAACTATAGATATCGTTTTTTTGGTGGGATTAAAACTCCATGCGTTATTTTTTTCCAACTCATGTTCTCACCTCAATAATAAAAATCGATGCGATGCGTCGCTGACCCGCACCTGGCGGTGAGGCGTTGATGAAATCGGTGGTCCACCACAAAGGCAGAGGCTCCGAGGCGAGGTCCAGAGAGGGCATCACCTGGCCGTCACAGGGGATCTTTCATTAATAACTGGTTGGTGGTTGAGTCCTACCCCTCTGAAAAATGATGGAGTGAGAGTCAGTTGGGATGATTTTCCATTCCCAACTGAATGGAAAGTCATTCAAAATTCCATGGTTCCAGTCACCACCAACCAGATAAGGAAATTAATTAGTGGGTGAGCTGGGACAATAATCATGAAACCTGTTAAGAAAGCTGGTTGAAACCATGGTGAGTCCATATAAATCCCTATAAATCCATAATGGGTAGATTAGGCTCTTGGCAATTTGTTACATAGCGAACTGGAAAACGGCCCATTTATATTTAAGATTTACCTATTGAAGATTGTGATTTTCCATAGCTATGTTAGTTTACCAGGGTAATGGGTGATTGATGGTTGATCAATGGCCTTTTCAGGAACCGATTTACTGGAGGTACCTACCATATATCGTGGCTAAGGGAAGATCCCACAAAATACGGCCTGATATGGTAGAGTACCTCCATTTTTTGATCCTGCAGTGGATATATAACCACACTTGTAGGGGATATATCTCAACTTCGGAATATCATGGGAATATACTGGGGAGATTATATAATAGTGATGGATGGGATTAATATTGGTGGGTAATTGGGACTATAATCATGAAACCTGTTCAGAAAGCTGGTTGAAACAATGGTGAATCATGGTGCTTAATGGATCTTTTAACCAAGAAGAATAGGGATTTATATGGAATTACAATGATATATATATATATACAGGAAATGGTATGGATTTACATGGGTTATTATGGTTGAAAACGGTGTCCCATTCTTGTGAGGCTTTGTTCATAATCCCCCATAACCGGGTAGTATCACTCCTGGCAGCAACCAATCAACAAGGTTTTTTTATTGGCTCATGTTGCTGGTTAATAATTTTAATAATCCCAGTATTGATGGTCAATAGTGGCTAAGAATGGTGAAGAATCGTTACTAAGTGATTGTTTTTTTTTCGTGACCCCCATTTTTATGGTTGGTTAATGGGATGGTTTTATTGCGAGGTTGACCACTTGACCACAGGTTTTTTTAACCAGAAGTCTTTTTTTCAAGGAAAACAAGCAGGGCAAATCTTATGGAAATTATTTGTATGTTGGATTTTACTTTTCCCGGTGGTCAGTATTACAGCAAACGAAAAAGAATATAGAAAAGTACAATCCGAATCTAGTAAAAATATACTAAAACTGTGATAAAATGAAGCTGTTCAGCATCTTCGTGACTCTTCTTGGAGGTCACCCTGTAATAAAGAAATGAGGTTCCTGATCTTTTCTGATCTACTTTCATGGTGGATTGTGTACATCCATGTTAGTGTACTGGAGTGCAACATGAAACCGGAGACACACAGGGACTGCCAATAGCTGGGGTCCATTGGTGTTCGAAATACTCCACCAAAGAAAATTCATGCGTTCCGGCAATCAATCACTGGAAAAACCATCCCATGTTTTACGTTGTTCAGCAACAACATGTTTTCCTAGACTTGTGGGATTAAATTACTGGTGGAAAAAAAATAGGTTATCATATGAAATCTTTAAAACTTAATATATGACTGGAGTATCATCAGTGGATAGTTGTCGAAAATCCAATTCCCATCATTCCAGTGAAAGTTATATAAGTGGAGTATTCCCATCATTCCAGTGAAAGTATGTGAAAGTTCTGGAGTCAAAGCCATCAAAACGATGGACATACACCTGATGTATTCAACATCACCTCGGGATTAGTTGGTCCCGCCCAGATGTTCTAGCCTAGCTTCAAGATTCCCGCATAGAGGTTCATAGAAAGTGATCTACAAACAGGGTATTTTCCAATCAGCCATGTGTAGTTACAATAAAAATGTGTTTGATTACAATAGAGATATGAGGATATCACGTTCCAAAAATGACAAAAGACATGGTCATCAAGCAGGATATGACTTTCAAGCCAATTTGGGTTTTATCTGGTATTGACCCATGGCCAAATCCTGAACTTGTTTGGGGAAGTTCTGTGAGTTTATCGCCTAATTTATCCCCATATTTGGATGGTTTATTCGCAGATGCGTGGTTCCGTTCATTTTTCCCTCGAGGTTCATATGGTTCCATCTGCAGAAAGAGTGGTAGAATCAACCCATTGAGGTCCACCGTTCGACAGCAGCCCCTCGAAGAGAATGGATTTCCTAATTTGTTGATTCCAGAGATCCAAACCATTGTAATTACCCTCTGGTAAACTAACATAGCTATTGAAAATGGCCATTTATAGTTGATTTACAGTACCCATTAAACATGGTGGGTTTTTCCAGTTCGCTATGTAACCAATTACCTGTAATTATCATAATATCTTCCATTTTGTTGCCCATTCCGAAGCCGCATGTCTGGAATTTTTTGCAGGCGACATGTGGCAAGTCTTTCTTCAAGAAGTTTTCCGTCAAACTCTTGAACAGTGGCTCCTCCGGGCCTTGGCTGGTCATAAGGCGCGCGCACACACACATTTACACATAATACACTTAAATGCAATACGGTATATATGTGTATATACCCTCTGGTTGTTTAACATAGCCATGGAAAATGGCCCATTTATAGATGATTTTCCCATTAAAACCTCCATTTATGAGGGATTTTCCATGGCTATGTTGAATAACCAGATGGTGTATATATATATAATTATATATGCAATTATATACATCATCATCCTGTTATGCTAGGGAAGATAGAATGTAGGATTTTCAAGCAGTGTCCCGTTTTGGTGAGGTTTCTTTTCTTGCAATGTCCATATTCCACCTACTCCAGGATGACTACCAGACGTATCAATATCTACTTATTTGTGCATGTTGCGCATGTAGGCATGCATATGCTATAAGTACCTGAGTATGTGCATATATACATATATATATATATGCGATTATAAATATAAATGTATATATATATATACTGTATATACTTATGTATGTGTACCTATGTGTGTGTCTATATATACATACACATGGGTTTCTGCCAGTGTCTGCATGTGCATATCTGTGCACATGTGTCTTGAGCTATGTCCAGATACTGGTGTCATCTGGTGGCTGTGGCACCATGAAAATTTGGGCATATTTGGGCTCTAACCTCAATATTTTATATTATATAATATATGTATATATATATATATTTATATATTGGAGTTAAATCCCAGGATGAGGATGATGATGAAGACGATTATTATTATCATTACCATTATGATTCACCAGCGGATAGGGTTTTCCCCTTAAATGTCAGACACAGGAAAGATCAAAGGCAGTGGCTGGCCCAGCTAGCAGTTGCGAGGAGCATCTTCCAACTTATCAATGATAGTTCACCACGATTGCAGCAACAGAAGAACAACAGATCGGATGATTTCTTGCCTGCAAAATACAAGGCTTAGAATCAGGTTGGAATGAACTGGATGGAAGAGATAAACATATTATTATTATTTTATTAGATAAACAATCAATCGAAATGAGATCTTCAAAGGGCACCATCCATTGTCGTCCTTTCCAACCCTGCCATCACCACGGCCATGTCTTTCGCCCAGCGACCATAGAAAGTGTAGATGGATCCAGTACCGCCCACGGCAGAGATGCCGCCCTCCTTGGGTTTCTTGTGAATGACGCCGATCCTCACGCGCCAAAACCCCGGGGCCCTGGCCTTGTGGTCACACGGTTGAAGATTAAGGGAACAATCCTGGGATGTGAATATCACAGATATTCACACCCCAAATTTGGGGTGATTTGAGCTGATTTGAGTATCGATCCATCATGATCCATTCGTGCTTTGATGTTCTCGGACCTTAGTCATGAAGCATCTAGCTGCAGTATCTCAGGTTCAGGGAACATGCGAGTTTCTCAGAGCATTTCTACAAAATCGACCACGTTAAACAACACAGAAAATCTACCATTTATAGATCATGCAGTGAAACCATGGATTTATCATATCTATGTTCGTTTACCCTAGGATCCCCAGGTTATATACCAGCTTCGCTGTCTGATTTGAACCGAAGACCGCCCAGGTCTTGTGTGATTCTTTCGTAAAGTGCAGCACAGGGTCACCCACCAAAACACCCAGAACCTTCATCGTTAAATATGATACTCAGAGATGTATATATGTATAATTATATATGTGTATATATATATATATATACTCAGTGCAAATATCATACTCAGTAATTACGTCCTCCTTTAAAAGTAAAAAAAACAAACGGAAACTGGTCCACTTTGGGTTTTGAGCCGCCGAGGTTCAAAGAGTCGCCAATCAAATTGTAGCGCAATTCGCCTGGTTTCACCATGGGTGAGTTTGGTTTTTTTCAGGGAAACACCATGGAAAAACGACTGGAAATCATGGGAATTTGGGGTATCCATGGGCATCCTCTACGCATTAGCAACTGAGTCAATGACAATCGTGCCCAAGCACGGCTACCCTCTGGTAATTTAACATAGCTATTGAAAATGGCCATTTATAGTGAGTTTTCCCATTAAAAATGGTGATTTTCCATAGCCATGTTAAATTACCAGAGGGTAAGCTAACAAACATGATTCTCATCTTGAGTCCCCCCTTCCCCGTCAAGGTTTACTGGCCATGCAACGGTTTTCTCAGTTTCTTATTCCAAATTTGACTCAGCACAAACCCATTAACCAAAACATCAAAGGGAAGCACCCTGATAATCTATCAGTGTCAACTGTTCATGATGCTATAATGAGGACCACATGCATTCAGAATCACCTTTTGAATCCTTTTTGGTGTGGTTGTTTTTGGCATGCGGCTGATACGGCACCCTTGGAAGGGTTGTCAATTTTGAGATGTGCCATTTACGATCCCTTGGAAGGGTTGCAAATTTCAAAAATGATGCTTTCCCAAATGGGGGTATAGGATTTGATCTTTTGGCGTCTTTAACATGTTGCACATGCTGTCGTATGATCATCGGGGGGGGTTGGGGGGGGTGTATTAACATCCTTGACGAGCACTTCCCTTACGGTACGGAACATGTACACGTTGCACATGCTGTCGTATGATCATCAGGGGGGTGGGGGGGTGTGTTAACGTCCTTTACGAGTACTTCCTTTACGTTAAGGAACATGGAAACACCTCAAAAAATTGCGACCTATGTCGATGCCACACCAAAAAACAACAGTGTACCAAAAAAAAAGATACGCTTGGGCCTACAGCTGGACATGGCGTCACAATGTCGCCTTGTTGCAGTCTGTGGCTTCTGCGTTGCCACAAGCGCTCTGGCACTGAAGCGTCGAGAAGAGGAAAAAACTGGATGAGTGAATATCGCCCTGATATGATTCGGATGATTGAAAATCATAGAATTCTAATGTTTTTTTTACCCTTGAAGAGCAAAATCGAGTCACCGTGCAGGCGAAACGCTAATTTTCACACTTGAGTTACACGCCTGCCAATCGAAATGAATGTCCATGTTGCAAACATTTTTTGACGACTCCTGCAAATACCAGCATTTTGTCTCTTAGCCTCAAAACTCAGAATCTCAAGTTCGTCACCCTTACAAGGGCGCCGAGTCAACCGGTTGCCTTGTTTTTCCAGCATTCACCCAACATCCACATGACATGGTCGCTTCATCGAGGCTGGCGCCTGCCACAATGCGAGGGCAGAAGCGCTGATCAACCAACTGACCACCAGCGTCCTTGCCACCCTCCAGGTATTTGCCAACACCTGGCACCATGGGGACACCATGCGAACACCATGGGGACACCATGGGGAGCATGGACACCATCCATGTCCCAATATTGCTTACTAAGGCCCCCAAGAATTGCACTCTCTATTCACGTGCCAATGCTTGGCTTGAAAGACCAGGGCCTTTGGAGGTCCATTCTCCCGACTTGTCCGTACCTGGTTCCAGGTGGAAAGGTGATACTCAGGGGCACCCAACCAAAAAGGGCTTAGTCTTCTTAAATTCTTAAATGACCTCTAGATCTTCAAGATGACGCAAATAATATGAAAGAATAAGCAACATGTCTATATGTCTATATGTTTCTCCCTTTCGAATATCCTGGGACGACTGGGTAAATGCCTTTCTTTAGTGTTTTAGGCCAGGCTAGGCCGGGCTTTGAGATCCGGAAAATCACCAGCCACAAGGGATCCAGGTCAATTTTTTGTAGACTCAATCATCGACTAACCAACTGCTGAAGGGTTGATAGAAGCCATTTCTGAGAAAAGTTGGGGATGGTTTTTTTTAATTTATCAACTCTGAATTGGATTTACATGAATTTACCACATTACGAAGCACCAAGCCATGATGAAAGGGAGGATAGTCAAGTTTTTTCCCCATGTATTGAATTTCACGAGGTCTTGGGGTTTTGGGATTTTTAGGGTATATTGGGTTTCAAAGTCAAAATGCATCATTTCGAGCAACCTGCGCGCAGAAGGGTCGTGAGGAAAAGTGTTGAATGTTGTGATTTTTGTTGAATCAGTGGTCCACAGGTCCAACTGGCGTTCCAGAGAAACTGAAACAGTCGGAAACAGTCGGAAACAGTCGGAAACAGAGCGGCGGCCCGGCGTGATCATGCCAAAATTGTCAATCCGCCATTTTTTTTGCAAAAAAAACTTTTCCGCACAATCCCATTTTTTTTTTGAAAGTGCAACGGGAAACAGTTGGAAACAGTTGGGGCTCGTACCTTTGACTCGGCAAAAAACGAGCTATTTAAAACCATTTAAGGTTCATTTTCTTTATAAACTTGTTTTAAATAGCTCTTTTTTGGCCGAGTCAAAGGTACGAGCCCCAACTGTTTCCAACTGTTTCCCGTTGCACTTTCAAAAAAAAAAAGGGATTGTGCGGAAAAGTTTTTTTTGCAAAAAAAATGGCGGATTGACAATTTTGGCATGATCACGCCGGGCCGCTCCCGACTGTTTCCGACTGTTTCCGACTGTTTCCGACTGTTTCCGACTGTTTCCGACTGTTTCAATTTCTCTGGAACGCCAGTTGGACCTGTGGACCACTGATTCAACAAGAATCACAACATTCAACACTTTTCCTCACGACCCTTCTGCGCGCAGGTTGCTCGAAATGATGCATTTTGACTTTGAAACCCAATATATCCTAAAAATCCCAAAAACCCAAGACCTCGTGAAATTTAACATCCCCATGATTCAATGGATTGATTGCTTTAAGGGAAAATCTACACCGGAAACCCATGGTGTTTTTACCATCAAATTGTTTGGGCTTTCCATCAGTATATTAATGGTGTAAAATCTACAGGAAACCATAGTTTTTTTACCATCAGTAAATTTTTCCCATCATCCAATTCTATGAATTAAGCTATACTTGCTACAGCCACCCACATCATGACATCGTCTCGGCCAGCGACGTCCATTGACGCAGAACTCAATGAACTCGCCCACCTGAAGATGAACCGGCGCACCGCGGGAAGAAGAGGCCCATCTTACAGAGATTCTTCGTATTTTTGAATGTTTTTCTGGATATCATGGTGGACATTATTACATATTATATATATATATATATTTATTAAACAAAATATAAATAATATAATATCTATAACATATATATATATAATATCTATAATAACGATATATTGGATATAATAAATATAGTATTATATATATATAATGTAGAAAAAATGCAATATATATTACATATGCCAAAAAGATGGGGAAGTAAATACCTATTAAATAGTGATGAGTTGCTTTTCCATCTTTTGGGACACCACTACATACCGTAAATCAACTCACCAAGTGATGAAGACTCCACAGTCGTACGCTAGCTTCCACTTTAAACTTTAATACGCTCGAGTAAACTAACACAAAAAATATGGCACATCCATCATTCGTAGATAATTTCCAAGGGAACCCAATACATTTCCATAGTTTGTTATATGTTTACTGAAGGCTGCATGATATCTCGCAAATGGGGTACTTCTAGACCGATAAACTCGTAGCTGCTCAAACATTGGGATAAAAGATCATGGGATTTTAATGGGATTTAACCAACAAAAATTGTGACTTACTGGAATTTGATCAAGGTGATACCGAGGTTGTTGAAGTAACTAGGTTAACTATGCTACATATATCCAGAGTTACTGGGATTCACAAAGCAACGACCGCGGGGCACCACCTTGTTTTTAACCATACCGTGGCTCGACTACTTACACTGCAGCATATGCAGCAATGTGCATGCACATGCATACATATATACATACACACACACATATATATATATATATGTACATATATATGTGTGTGTATGCTGTACATTATTATGTACATATCATGTACAGTATGCATATATATATATATACATAGAAAACCTTTTCTATGGGGAAACCCTGGGCTTTCCATATGTTAGCTTACAGAAGGGCCTTTAATAAAGGGCCATCCTCGTTTTGTCAGGGCACGGTGTGTTCCTCCTCATGGTTGTCGTTGGCTTCCATGAGCAGCAACTTCTCGGAATCTTCGCAGGACCTCTCACCATACTCCTTGCAGTAGTTCTCCTGTGGATTTTTGGAATGGACCAAGTCTCAAGGTGCAATACCCGGCCTGGTTATGACATTCACAGTTCACCATGGTTTTTCGATGGTCCTAATCGAAATAGATGGTTTACCGAACTTAATAGCATGGTGGATATTTCCATGGCTATGTTAAATAATCAGAGGGTAAGCGTGTTTAAAAACCATGAGTAGTAAGGAACTCATTTTTAGGATAACCATAGTTTTAAGTGTGTTAAGATGCATGGAACACCAAAAATTTGATTTGGAACATGATGTTCTTGTTGATCGTGGCCATTTTGGCGGTCCGTCTTAAACTTAAGGGGTGTATAGTGTCAAGAATGATGGTCACAACTGTAAGAGTGTAGTCATGCATATATATATATATATATTTATTTATTTATTTATTTGAGATAGACCTGTGTCCTGTATGGGAAATAACGTGACAATCAGTTCATAAATGTGGTTCTTACAACCCAGCTACATTACTGGTACAAATCATGTCAATGATGAAACCCAATTATGTATTGGATATAGCGCAAGTTGTGGGTAAGCACTTGCCAACACACAATCCGCGTATGGCAATCCCGTCCGTCCCTGCTTCTTGGAGGTATTAGTTTTTCGGAAATTGGATTGTATCAAAGTACAGTTGGTATATTTGCGTATATTTACCACACATGGAGCGGGATAGTACCTAACATCGGACTGGTGCAAAGCCCTGTACTATATGTCGGTATTGGTCAAATTAAAGTCCTGGGGGACCACAGATTTAAGTCTATCTTTAGTATTAACCATCCAATAATTGGGGTATAGTAGTCAATTTTGACCCATATATCCCTACTACCTTAGACGGGGGGGACCTGGAAAATGTAACATACATTTTCCATATGCTCAAAATGCAGGTTTTGGAAATTCTGCATTTTCCACATCTTAAGTACGTAAACTACCATATGTAACCCCATATAGATCTAAGAGACGTAAAAATGTAACGTTACATTTTTAGGTCTTTATAGCCTCCAAGACAGATCAACATACATTCAACATACCTAAAGAAACATGTTACATTTTTTAACTGTAACATGTCCAGTTGAGGTCTCAAGTACGTAAAGATACGTAAAGCCTTTTTTTCCCTCCTTTGTGCCAAGAGCTCATCCGCGCGTGCAACATGCATTCCTACTGGAAAGTAACGTGGGGTTTCTGATAACATCCAAATTTCTGAAAATATTTCCACTCATTTCCAATCCCATTTTTTTCAAGGCCTTTCAAGGCAGCCTTTGAATTACGAATGCCCATGAATGCCCAGACGCCCCACTTTGAGTAATGCAAAACACTAAGTTTTCCTACCCCGGGCCCTGCATCTTAGATTTTCAAAACTTAGGGATTAATAGGTCCAAAATGTAACATGGCACTGGGAGGGCTCCCAAACCCTGCAAAAACCACAGTACTTGCCTACCCTAGCCCCTGCATGTTACATTTTACATCATTTTACATATGCGCACACGCATCGCAAATCTTAGGGTCTTTGGGATTGATAGGTCGAAAATGTAACATGGCCATGGGAGGGCCCCCAAACGCTGCAAAAACACAGTAATTCCCTACCCTAGCCCCTGCATGTTACATTTTACATACGCGCATACGCATCATCGCGCATCGCAAATCGCAGGGATCAACAGGTCGAAAATGTAACATGGCCATGGGAGGGCTCCCCAAGCTTGCAAAACACAGTAGTTTCCTACCCTAGTCCTTGCATGTTACATTTTACATACGTGCACAAGCATCGCAAATCGCAGGGATCAACAGGTCCAAAATGTAACATGGCCATGGGAGGTCTCCCAAACCCTGCAAAAACACAGTAATTCCCTACCCTAGCCCCTGCATAATACATTTTACATACGCGCATGCGCATCATCGCGCATCGCAAATCGCAGGGATCAACAGGTCGAAAATGTAACATGGCACTGGGAGGGCTCCCAAACCCTGCAAAACACAGTAGTTCCCTACCCTAGCCCCTGCATGTTACATTTTACGTACGCGCACAAGCATTGCAAATCGCAGGGATCCACAGATCAAAAATGTAATATGGCACTGGGAGGGCTCCCAAACCTCGCAAAATACAGTAGTTTCTTACCCTAGTCCCTGCATGTTTCATTTTACCTAAGTGCGCACACATCTCATCGAGCGTGAAATTTCTCGAGGCGTAAGTAACTTAGGACTTGGAGCCTTTTGGATATCATCAGCATTGTCGATGTTTTCATGTATCTTCAGGTCTGCCTAAGGTCTGCCTAAATAAAAAAACACAAACACATAAACAATGAACAACAAGAAATAACCATGTATTAACATATATGTAAAAACATTAAAAAATGTAACATATACCTCCCCACGTCTATGTTACATTTTCTTGGGCCCCTGTAACATATGCTTGTTGGGGGGGGTCCCCCCCCCTTACGTATAGATTACGTATGGTTTCTTCGTATGGAAGGGGGGGGGGCTAAACAAATGTAACATGCAGGCGGGAGGTACATGTTATATTTGTTTGCCCCCCCCCCCTTCACCTTGTATGATAGCTATATGGAGGGTGGGGGGTCTACATTTTTGGGGTCCCCCTGGTTTTCGGCAAGCCAAGGGGGTAGGGATACCCATATACATATATATATATATATGATCATATATCATTCCACAGATCGGAACCGGGACTGAAAGAATATGAGATGCCCTCCGGTATATAATCAAACATGGCAATTGGAAATCCCCGAACTCAATGGAGGCTTTAAGGCTTTCATGAATCGAAAAATGGAAGATTTCCATGGCCACACTTGATTACTGGAGGGAAGATGAAGATGAGTCAAATCCTCCAAGTAGGGGGACAGCCCAAAAAATTGGGACAAAACTCCTGATTTCGGCCCCTGGGTTGACACTGCATTACCATTGCTTGAACCTTAAAGGCCTCAACTGTTGAACATCAGGTATGAATAATCATGACTACCTGTATAACATTGTATAACTATAACTGTGTGGTTTACCGCCTCTTACACAAGAGCACTCCAGCCACCCGGCGCCTCTTTCAATTTAATAATCCAAATTCCCTCGCCACCTTGGCTTTGCTTCAGGCGGTGATTAGCAGATTCCCAGTTTTCATTCGCATTCACCGGTGGGAAAATCAACCAAATCACCCCAAAGCAGCAAATGTCTGCTGCCTCAATATCTTCACTTCCCATTGCCAGCGAATCTTCAGTTGCTGAATCTTCAGGAAATGTTCCCATTGCCACTGGTGGATAAATCGGATAAATCCTCGTGCCATGATCAGCAAATGGCAGATTCTATGAGTTATGCTCATCCATCCCATAGAAAAGGAATCCTTCTAATGGGTATATAAATCCCTAAATCCCTATGAATCTGGGTAAATCATATAATTCACCCATCTGAAAGTTCGGCTATATTGGGACAATTCCCGCCAAAAAACATGCACGTACATTCACCATCATTCCAGGCTTCGGTCGCCGGGTTCGGTCGTTATATCATTTTTATAATTTGCCCAGTGATATTCCATTGTATCACCATTACATTCCCATATTTGCTGCAGTTAAAGCACCAGTTACATTCCCAGTTAAATCCCATTATACTTGACATTTAACCAAATTGCTAGTTAAATCCCTAATTCATGCAGGATGGTGCCCCCCAGTTATAAGTTGGTTTATAAACCCCATTAACTATAGTTATATCTACCATAAACCATAGTTATGGGAGTTATTTGCACCAACTTAGCTAACTATGGGGCACCACCTTGTGGATGATATATCCAAAACAGCCCCAAAAAAATGGAGGTTTAACCAGCTTTAGAGCTGCGAAAGTCAGCAACTCCGGGTCACTGGAGCCGCGGTTCTGCTTGATGACGCGAGGTTGGAATGCCATGGTCTTCTTAAAGCCCACCGAGAACCTTCGCCGAAAGAAACGAAGAAGGGCTGAATGGGAGCCAGCGACGGCAGTTGAAGTTCATACTACTTTGCCGTACAGGCATAAATATATATATATATAATATATATATATATATACATGCATACAGTAAATACATGTGTACATCTCTATAATATATATATAATGTATACACGCCCTGGAAGTCCACGGCTATTTTTTGAATAGTCTTGACAAACGGTTTTTTTTTGGCCAACTTTTGCCGTTTTTCTGGCAGGGAACCCCAGCACTTGCGCAATGCCTTGGCCCGTTCTGTCATGTTTTGCTGCAAGTTTGGTGTTATTTATCTATTCTATGTCGTACACAATTTTGTAGTTTTCCTATGTGATGTGCACAGATTTCATCGCAACAAACCCCAGTAGGCCACGGCGATTGAAGTGCATAGAGTCATAGAAGTTTGAGCACGTCCGTGGACTATTTCACAGTGCAGTGCTTTGTAAACGGAGAACAAACGCCACACATGCCATAGCTGGTTCCAACGCAGTCCACGGAGGGCACAACCTCCTCACCAAGAAAGGTAGGCTCATTGAAAGTTCATTGTGATAGAATGATGCAACATGTGAATTTGCGCAACTTGGATTTATATATAATATATGTCAATATGATTTAATTGAAAACCGTTCAATGACCTGCGATACGAGAAGGACAATTGAGGACTCACCAAACACTGATGGGAAACTCATGCATGTTTCACTTCAGCACAGGCAACTAGCATACAAGCATTGAACTTTGCTTTTTCAAGGCTGAACCAAGTCACCTTCTGCAGGTGACAAACAACACAGGGCAGCACTCATGGCAAACTGCAGTTGTCAAACTGGTCTGCAAGTGGGCAAGACCATGACAAGGGGTACTCAAATGTCATGCGCAAAGAATAGCCTTACATTGGAAGGCCATAAATCTAATAGCCTTTTGCCTTCTTGGGTATGTATGCTAGAGTATGTCTACAGAATACGCGCATGTATACGCATACGTGCAAATATACATTAGCTTTATAGTATAAAAGTATATATTGTATTTAAATGTATGTATATACACATGCATTTATATAATAGATAGACATTGTACATACATGCAGAGTATATAACATATATATATATACGTATATATAATGCCACTATACCTTGATAGGTGCATAATGGTGCATAATTTGGATCACTTTTTGTGCCACCAGGCAACTCTTCAGGGCTGTAGTAAGCCAAGGTATCCTCCAAGCCGATGTTCATAGTTGCCACCTTGCACAAGGCATCCTTGGCACCCATCTTTTCCTCAGCGACGAGGCAGAAATCGCAGAAATCAGACTGTATCCGCTGGCAATTCATGGCTCTTTGCGAAAAAAATCGCCATTTTATCAACAAGTCTATAATAATCTATAAATAGGTAAATTAAAGGACTAAGTGATACTAAGTGGACAATTTTCCAGTTCGCACACTGCGAAAGGACCGGAGGGAACTCTTTGCCGTTGCTCCCGATTTGTAAGGCATCTTAATGCTGGAGGTTATTGAGGCATTAGGGTTTGGACGGGACAGATTTAAGTCATACGTTGCCCCCTTTGCCTCATTTTAAACTTGTGGTTAAAATGTATATCACTATCATACCCCCCATACCCCCATCACGTTCCCATGATGTCCCTACTATATACCCATACCCCCGTCAAATTACCATTATATCATATTATATATATATATATCATTACATCCATGGCCCATCATAGACACCCTGCATTTTTGTCGAAGCTGATCAATAAAAAATATGGTGTTTATAATGGCTCCATGTATAGCAACAGATCATCCCAAAAAACTGCCCCATAGCCCACGCCACAAAGGTCAGAAACTGCATGATAGCATCGCGCCACAAAGGTCTGGCTTACCGGTTTGCAAGAGCTTACCATGAGTTCGTTGATTTAGCCATAAAAAATGATGGTTTTCCATGGTTTTCCATAGTTATGTAAACGTTTACCAAAGGGTAGAGGGTACAGCTATGAGTTTTGAACCCCACCATCAGCTCCCCAGCCCCCAGATCCCAGCGGCCATGACGTCCGGAGAGGGCCAAACCTGGATACCACCCTTGCGCAGCTCCCGCATGCCATCATCGAACTTCTGCTGGTCACCACCATCGGCCTGGGTTCGGATGTCAGGTGGTTCGGGGATGGGATATATCTGGTGTTAACCTAAGTGAGATGAGAGTTTCTATAGTAAACTATATAGTTTCACATTTTTCGCATAGTTCATTGCTATAATATTGACTACCCTCCGGTAAACATAGAAAAAACTCATATCCTATTACAAAAAGCTATGGAGACCCATGGTTCTTTCCTGCTTCAAAGGATCAACATGGTGGAATTCCATCGCTATGCATCTACAGTTAGGTAAATGGGGTGGTTGGTGGTTTCAACCCTCTGAAAAATATAAAAGTCACTTGGGGTTACTATTCCCAATATATATGGAAAAAAATAAAAAACATGTTCCAAACCGCCAACCAGAATTTCATATCAAGATGCTTTGCATGTGTTGACATATGTCATTGCTGACTGTCATGATCATGAAATACACATGTTTGTGAAAAGTGCGTGTTGATGTTTTAAACTAACACAAAACGTTCATGTTCTACTAAACAGTCGTATTGAGTAAACCCAAATCCAAGTAGGACTGGGCATATAAATCCAAGAGAGAAAGAGCAAACCTGAAGCCGTCCCCCACCTTGATTTGCCCAGGGTTGCAGCGGACGATGATGAAGTCGAAGTTCTTGCAAACCCTGGCGTTTTTTAAAGAACTTCTCGGTGGGCGATGGGGAGTCAACCAACACCCCGAAACGTGACCCCACCAAAATAAAGGCTTACTCAAGGTTGATTAACAATCTACTCTCCGCTAATCAAACAGTATCAAACATGGCTGGCTAGAAGATCCCCCATGGACTTATTATGTTTCCAGCTAGAAACCTTCATTTGTATATAGACGATTTCCCAGCTGGTCATGTTTGAGCACCGGAGGGCATCCCACTAAATATCCCATTGTTAACAATGGAGTTTCCGATTCAATGGAGGTGCCAACCATCAAACATTTGGCTTAATTAAGAAAAATCCACCATCAAACATATTGGTTCTAGATTCTAGGGAATCATATAGCTTTACCCGAAATAGGGGATTCCTGCAGATGTTCTCTTCAACCAAGTCTGGATTTTTCTAAGAGACAGGGATCCGACAGCGGAGGACTCCCTGGAAGCACAAACTGCTGGGAGATTCACCTAACCGTCCTCACAGGAACGAATCTAAATTGGCAACCGGTTACCACATTAGTTTTGAGGATGACTTTATGGCACCACTAGCCGTAGAACTATTGTATTGTATCCCGGAAAAAACAATTACAAGGCATGAAACGAATTAATTCACAATTACAAAAAATAGATCCATGACAACATTGAGTACACCAACGTATACCAGTATAAAGTGGAAACAGTATCTGTGTCTATCCTTGCAAATTTGTTGATCCTCTGCTAAATGTCTTTTGGTGGTGTATGCTTAAGCCCCATGTAACATCAACAAAATGTAAAAGCATACCTATTTGTATATTGTGTTACAAGTATTTATAAGTTAATGTTCTGTTCATTGTTGTTACCGTTACGCCGTTTATGACTCATCACCATTGTTATCATCATTATACATCCACTATATCATTATTATAAAAGACAGATGAATGTATGACTGAAATCTATGATATTCATTTGCATTCTATCATATATATATATATATATATGCTCTCTCTCTCTCTCTCTCCCTCCCTCTATCTATGATTGTATCCAGGGTCTATTTCTTTGACGTTGAAGTCCTGACTTCCGCCATGTGGCTTGAAGAAGGTGTCGTGTTCCTCGTGGGTGTAGTGAATCAGCTGGCACGACATGCCACCTTAGGTGCCGCCCAAAAAAAAGGGAACGATCTCGGAGGTTTTCCATGGTATGTGCCATCATTATGCCATCATTTAGATTGGCTTAATGAAAAATAATTGAATATAAATGGGCTTTATTTGGATTAATTAATGAAAATATAGAATATCAATGAATATAACATCCATATAACTAACCAACAACATGATAATTAGGTCCGTTTATTTAATGGAACAAGATGATCGTTCCTCTAAACATGTTGGATTTGACCAGATTTTTTTGGGCAATTCTAATGGAGAAAATGATGATACACTCGTGTTAGGGGCACCCCACACTGACACTAAAACCCGCGTTTTTTTGGGGGTCAACTCTTGGGATTTCATGGCTGAAAAAGATCTGTTACCCTCTGGTTATGACTAACATAGCCATGGTATAGATGGCCCATAGAAATGGATGGTTTACCGAACTTAAAAATGGTGATGTTCCATAGCTATGTTAAATAACCAGATGGTATATCCCCTTCAGCAATTTCACGCTGTAACATATGAAGATAAATCCTCGAGAAAGTTCCCTGCACGCCGAGTCCGCCGACCCACGGCCACGCAGAAGTGGCCGGAGCTGGTTGTGATTTCGCTTCCCTTGCCATCTCCAAGCATTTCCACTCTTAGGAATAGCCAGTTGCCATTTGTTTCCCGACTGTGACGGCTGAGTTTCCCAGGATTCAAGTGCCAAAAAAGCTGGCACCTTGGGTGCATCACCTCAGCATCATATCAGCCTCTGGTTATTTATGAAGCTATGGAAAATCACCATTGGCAAATCATCAAGCATCTAGAAATTGGCAATTTATCAATAGCTGCGGAGGGTATACATAATTATACCATGTTTTCCCCAAAAAAAAGAACAATTTTGCAGTTCAACCTTCAGATAAATTTTGGAAATATGATTTGCCATGATTTACCAATGAAAGGAGTTACAAAACGTAACATAATGGTATTGTTGTTAACATCGGAACATGTCCTACACTCTCTTGCAAACATTGCCATAGATGCAGAAAACACCCATTTATCGATGGATTCTAACACATTTATGTTAGTTTACCCCACGGCAAATCCTATATCATTAACCCATTACTCAACAATATTGAAACATCTTTAAGCGTTATCAACCATGATTATCCCACCATTAATGTCCATTAATCCATTATTAACCATCATTGACCCACTATTACTTACCCCATGATGATCCCCGAAAAAACACCATGGCGATCGCTGGTTTCTTTAACGCCATGCCACTGTTGATCATTCCATTGGCCATCGGAATGGAATCGTACCTGTGCAACGTTGAGCCATTGCCTGGGCCTTCATTTCGAGGAAACAAAGTACCCGGCCTGGTAAACTAACATAACTATGGAAAATCACCATTTTTAATGGGAAAATCCACTATAAATGGCCATTTTCAATAGCTATTTTGACATAACCAGAGGGTACCAGACAACATAGGTTCCAAAAGGTTGAAGCTGGGCACAATGGAGGCCGGTGCTCCAAAATGGATCAATTTTTAAGCGTCAATTCGCCGAGGCGCATTGACAAAGGACAAAGAACTCACCAAGAGCTTGCAAGCATGCATACATGCTCGTGCAGCTTCACATCGAAAGCGACGATCCAAGATCCAGCCAAGTCCACGATTTCTACAAAAATTTAGGCGTGGCGACCCACAAAAATGTAAGTTCTCAATTCGGCCACGGCAAGGTGGACACTTCTTCCATGAATTACCGGGGGGCAAGCTCTATGCAGTCTCCACTTCCTCAAAGATCCACAAAGTTCTCAAAGCAAAGCGAGTATAGTGACGGACAGACACTTAGAACATAATTTGGAAAAAAATATAACAGAAATCGTGTTGGGAGCGAATCTCACACTTAGAACATGCCCGAATCTCACACTTAGAACCTCCAGTTTGATACTGAATCACACCGTGCCCTGCAGAGGCCTCACACTTAGAACATCCTCCAGACATAATCATATATAGTGTATTAAAGATTTGATTGTTCTTTGATTGTTCTTCACAACTGGTTGAATGCCATTGGTGTGATAATACCCTAGGTAAGCCTCACACTTAGAACATCACAAGACACATTGAAAAACATATATATATAATTAATTATATACATATGTATATATATGCGAGCATTCTGCTGTGGAGACCCCGCACCTAGAACATCCCATATTGAATCGCGCTTGAATATTGATTCAACAACATTGATCAAGGGGGCGCAGGGGGATCAGGTGTGAAGTGACAACATGTAGGAGGATTTGTCGCCAAGTTTGACTGGGACTGCACCAGATCTCCACAGCAGAGCATCCTACCTTCCATCAATAGCTGGATTGAAGCTATTCAGCAGGCCATTTCAGACTTGCCATAGTGACATAGTGTGAGCTCACTTTTCTGACTTTCTCAAGGTAGCTATGAAAGGGTGGTCAATGTCAAGCAGTTGGCTGTTCCCGCAAGGTGGTCACCCAAGCAGCAAACCTCGCCCTCCCGGTGGTCACCTGTGCCCATTCGAGCTCTTGTCCTTGGAGATTCATTGAAGGTAGCTATGGCAGCCGTAAGGACTATTAGCAAGGGCTGCATATTATTGGAATATCCCTGCAAAATATATCAAAATATGGCCTGGCACAAAGTCGTTTAAAGATTCATTATATTCATGGTTTGCCATAGGAACAATTGCCGATCAGCTTCAAACACATTGTTTGCAGGGCATCTTGTTTATCCAATGTTAATTCAAGAGTGTTTGCTCATTCATGTCATGGCAAGCAGGAAAGTCAATGTTGAAATAAGTCAATGTGATGAGATGTGTCAGAAATGAATATGAAATGTGTATAAAAGTGTCAAAATCTTGGTAGTCTGCGTGGAGTGCGTTTCTTGGATATCTTGGTTCCCACGATGTTCCACGTGCCCCCCCCGTGTCTTTGTCAAGGGACAGACCCGCCGTAGGGCTGGCTTCGAACGAAGATCTGGCAAAGAGCACCCTTGAACTTCCTTGGGATGTCGGCACTGGCGCACTGGCACAAAAAAGGACTCGCGTGGTGGCTGCATGCGGCTTAAATCTTAAATGTCCTTTCCCAGTGATGTGTCTGGTTGAAAGGAGTACGAATTATGCCGAATTATGCCCCTGTCCTTTGCCTTCGGTGATCCTTTGACTTTGCCAAAATCTCACATCCCAAAAATACCATCAGGAGAATGCGCCATGTATCGGTTCCTTTGGCTGCTCCAGAAGGCCTGAAAAGTGGATCCAGCAGATGGACAACATGTCAGTGCCCAAAAAAAAAAAATCATACCCTCTGGTCAACTAAAAATTGTGATTTACCCATGAAAAATTGTGATTTAATGGGATTTAACCACTATAAATGGTGATTTGATGGTGATTTGCGCTCTACTAAACTAAAATAACTATTCAAAAATGGCACATTTAGTTCGTTGATTTATCTATTAAAGCTATGTTAGTTTAACAAAGTGTACATGTTCTTAGCATCAACCCACGTCTTTCCGAGCTGCCTGATTCGTTCAAATCAAAACATCAATAAACAGGGTCTACGGAGCATGGCCTCACCTGACACCCTGTCTCTAGGTTTAAATCTAAACATTGATATATATATATATAATTATTGAAATTAATATTGATATGAATTTTGATTCCTTGATTTTCTATTCATGTTGAGAGGGCAGCCCGTTTCGAATCCTAAAGATATCAGATATTCCCCATGAATCCCCGATGATATCCCAAGGATTCAATCCCCGAAAAAACCCTGGCTGTTCTCATTGGATGGGTGGGACACTTTGCAGGAAAAAAACATGGTTTCATAGGAAAAACCATGGGAAAAACCCATGAAAAACCGGTGAAGATCTTCCCAAAACCAATCCATATCGGCCAAATCCCGATTCTATCCCCATGTTTCATCATTTTTCCTATAGCTGTTCCCCATGGTTCATGGAGTCAATCCCCGAACAACCATCGATATCCATCCGGGTCATCCGGATCCACGGCGCCTTTGTAATCCTTGGCCACCACCGTCAGAGGGCTGCAATCCACCGGGCCAGGACAGGCAGTTGCCTTGATCACGCAAGCCTCCTGGCGTCGTGGCCACCGTGGAAAGATGTGGGGGAAAAAAACATGGTGATTTAACAAGCAAAATATGGCAAAATGGTGTCTGAATGTGATTTTCCATTGGTTTTTTAACCAACAAAATTGGTGTCTTAATATTCTTAATAAGGTAAAATACTGTATCCATTTTAATGGGGATTTTAGATACATTATCAAGGTCCTACCCCAGTTTTCCGTAAGTTGCTTTAAGTTAAGTTAACTGCCTAGCTTAACTATGGTTTATGCTAGGTTAAACTTCATCTATAGTGGGATTATAAACCAGCATAACTGGGCGGCAGCACCTTGGAAAAACTGGAATCCAGATGGAAAACCTCATATTTCTGGTGGGAAAAGTCACTGAACATCATCTGTTGATAGATGGGAATCAGCTCCATGGTAGTAGGAAAAATCATGGAGATAAATTGTGATTGAATTTCCTACTGCCATATCAGAGTATGTACCAGGACATATCTGCTCGGGATTTCTGCGATTTCTAGGGGCCGTCTAGAACAAAATACACTCTGAGAAATCCTGGAAGTTGAACGTGTCAAAAATATACCACTGTCATTTCATGATGCTACTGTAAATGTTGGCAAATTTTGGCAAATACATGCGCCAATACGGATATTTGGTCCGACTACCTTCTGGTAAAATGGTCAATTTATAATAGATGCTTTACCTCTTTAAATGGTACAGTAATTTTCCATGGCACAGCACATGTCAAATTACCAGAGGGTATGATGTGATAAACCCAAGCATAAGCAATCCCGGTAAACAACCATTCGGGGGGTCCTTTTACATCACCCCAAATGTACAAATTCAATAACAAACCCGGCCCCCACGACAAGCCCCACTTACCTCAATAAGTATGTATGCATATATATATATATATATGCATTCCAATCAAGTTATATCCTCATCATATCCCATCCAATCCCATCCGTATGGCTATATAACTATATATATATACATACGTATATACATATATGATGATAACACATGATAACCATCAAATGCTTGATTTTAGTACCCCACCAAAAAAAGGTAGGAAAGTAGTCTATCACTATGTTATGTTGTTATATTTATATTCTAGTTGTTTTTTAGCAATTTCTATCTTTTCAGAGGGTCCACCACCCAACTTTGATGCTTTTCATCAGGTTATGTGACCATTTGCCCAGCTAAAATGGTCACATTTCGGGGGTAAACCCGATTTTCAGACCCCCAAATTGATCCGGGTGAAACTCTGCCAAAAAAAAAAAAAACAACCAATGCCACGCCCACCTTCAATTTGGACAACTGATCAGCAGGAAGCCCCTTGAGCGCCTCAGCAATCTCCTCGTGAAGCGGCCATGCTGGATCTCTTCGTTTCTGGGGGGATATGAGTGGTTTGATATGGTCTAATGGTGTCTTTTATATGTTTGGACTTTAATGAGATTTGATGCTTTAATGGGGCTTTAATGGAACTTTAATGGGATTCAACCAACCAAGGTATCGCGATTTAATCCTTTCATGGGTTCCACAAAATGGGGGATACCCTAAGGATACGCCAAACTGGCAATTTGGATGTCTGAAAATGAGGAATTTCCCTAAGTCATGGCCACTTCTTTGGGCACTCTATGCTCGGGAAAACCTATGTCATTATGTACATGTTCTACATGGTCGGTATCTGGTTCAAAGCCACTCCTTGGGCGTTTAACCCCATATTCAGGTTTTGAAGTTGAAGATGGACCCAGTGGCTTTAGAAATTCAAGGCGGATCAACCCTCAATAGCATTCATTTTGAGGGTTGAATCCCAATGGTTGGTGGTCAAGTCCCCAAACCACTGTAACACAAACATGGTAAACCCACCGTGTGTAGATCATTCTCAAGACAAAAATAGAGGTGTTCCATGTCCATCTCAAATTTTTAACTCCTTTGGGTTTTTATGGGCAAATCCGGTCTTTTTGCCACTTGAAATCTCACTTGTTGCCTGGTCAAATCCTCACTTTTGGCTAGTGAACTTCCAACTTTTGGCTGGTCAAATTTCCTCAATTTTTCCTGATGAAAAATACCAGTTTTTCTTGGTTTAAATCAATAATTCTTTGCTGACTGAATGACTGAATGCCAATTTCGGGTTAAAAGTGACACCCTGGTCATGACTCGCAGTTTGCTCTGGAAATCGCAATATTTTTCTTTTTGTTGCTACGCAATTCCCAGAATTGATGGGACAATCTGCAGGACAAAACCATGGTGAATTTCCTATGGTTTCCTGGTCAAATTTTCCCTTAAACTAAGCCAATATAACCTGGTTGGTGGTTGAGCCCTACCCCTCTGAAAAATGATGGAGTTCGTAAGTTGGGATGATTATTCCATTCCCAATATGATGGGAAAGTCATATAAAATTCCATGGTTCCAGTCACCACCAACCAGATGTGGTATAAATATGTATAAATGGCCCATTGATCAATCTGGATCAATGACCTAAAATTTCCAATGGTAAAATGTTCATTGATGTTCCAAACCACCTACCATTTGGTTATTTAACATAGCCATGGAAAATCACCATTTTTAATAGGTAAACCATCTATAAATGGGCCATCTATACCATGGCTACGTTAAATGACCAGAGGGTACCAGCCAATGTTTAAACCATCCAACATCATGCAACTGACTCGTGAGGAACCCATCGCTGCGATGACCTGCGACCGGGTCCTCAGGGGTCTTGCCCTCCATGGCGGTCTTCACTTCAGCAGTGGAGGCACCGGATCTCGGTTTTCGCGATGGCTAAGCAGCTCAAGGGTGCCATATGAATATGAATATAGCACATATTACATATGACATATATATATATATATGTCATATGTGTGTGATAGATGATAGATGATATATATATATATATATAATTATACATCTATAAATTATAGATGATCTATGTATATATAGAAAAATTGAGTATATGAATCTGCTACATAGCACATAAAGATACATAAAACATATTGCACATAGCCATAGTATAGCCATATTATGTGCCAGCCCTGGATCCATATGGAATTCATTCCCCCGATTCGCAGCCGAATGGGGATGGGATGTTTCCAAGATGTACTGGGTGCTGTATTCATCGGGGAAGGCTCTACTTGTGGTTTCTATGATCATCTACAGTATACTTGGAGGATCCTCCAAGCAAGAACGGAGCAACAACCCGAATTCTGTACAAAGTCCATAGCTGGGTGACAAGCCCACCAGATCTACCAGTTCGTAAGTGGGCTCCTCCAAGCGACCCCAATGCTGCCCAGCCACCCCATGGCTGATAGGAGTGGACGCGAGGTCAAAGCAGGATAGACTCGATGTTTGTCAAGCGCGCTGGTTGAGCCAGGGCCGACGATGGCCGACGTGCCAGCTTTGACCATTTTTTGAGGCCCACTATTTCCCGAACATGTTTTTTTTAACCACCACCAACAACAACAACAACAACGTCATCGTCTTTTTCTTCTTCTTCTTCTTCTTCTTCAACAACAACAGCTGTTGTTCAATCAACAAACATGAGCTTTAGCCAACACACATGTTAATTATGCTCTTTGCTGGATTGAGAACCTGTGGGAAACCATAGTCTTAACAGCAAAATACAGGGGGGAAGGGTCCAGTTTCTTGTTCCCTTCTGCCAATTCTAGAGCAATATCATCAAGATCTGTGAGCACCTGAGATCTGCATTCCACCTAATTGGATATACACATAAAAGTCTGGGAAAATTGGCATGATTCCATATAATTCCGATATCAAACTTAATCCCATTTTACATTTTGGAGATGTATAATTAGGTGATAACCAATAAACATTGGCATTATTCAATGGATAATAATTGGCGTTATTCAATTATATATTCCAATAATTTCCAAGCCATCATTTATAGTGATATCGTCTTGTCGATCCTTGTGAGATCCTTTTTTCGTTTGATGCCAAATCAATTCAGAGCTTTCCCCGGTGGTTCATAGTGACAGGTAACACAGGTTCCGCAGTGAAGACAGCTGGATAAATCCCAATACCCTCTGGTAATGTCAAAATAGCTATTGAAAATGACCATAGAAATAGTGGATTTTCCCATTAATAGCGTGGTGATTTTCCATAGCTATGTAAACGTTTACCAGAGGGTAATTCACTAACCTGACATAAGGATACATAAGATTTTTTTAGTGATAGTTACACCAATCATCCCCAATCATCATCATTCCAGTGACGTCAGCTCAGTTTGATTCCGCTATCCAGCCGCACCGGCAAGGCTGGGCGTACGGGTTTGAAGGAGCTTTGGCATTTGTTGCGTGTCCAGGACATTCCATGCCTTAGCATGGAAAGCAATTTATCGGTTGAATCTATGTGCAAGATTAGTCTGCATTCGTATGGATTTGAACCCCATGGTTGCGGGTTTAACACCTTCATTTGAGGTTGGCTAGCCGGCTGCGAATCTCACGATATACTGTGCGCACATCACGCAAAAAAAAAAACTGCATGCTTTCCTTGGTGACCCCATACCCTACCACAAGGCTGAATCACTATGCAACTTCAAATGCCGATTCGACGCCCAACTCATTGGTTTGTCTGATCCCCTGCTAGAAGTTGACAGCTTTCAATGGGATATCTTTCGTTTACCGCATTCCCATCTAATCCCCAGAAAAAAAAAATGTACACTGTGGCCACCCAATCCATCCAGCAATCAGATGGCACCTGATCAAACTCAACCCTCGTCACTCGGCGGCCCTAAAATCTCTAAAGTCCATCACAGGGTCCCATTTAGAACTGAAATAAAACCAATTGTTGGCTCAAAATTCATGCATCCCATAGCCTGGGTTTCGGGTAGGAGGTATTTGATATGGGAGGAGGGCTTATGTAATCAGATTACTTGAGGGCGATGGCTTTAGTATCTGACCCTGCCCTGGCACATCAAAAGAAAACTATTCGAATGCATTTGTACTCTTTACAACTGGTATGAAACCCTCTATGCTTGATTTCTTTCCCGAAATTGCCCACACTCGTTTTTTTGATATAGAACTTGTGGGGAACCATCACTGCAGGTGACAAACTTGAGAGGGAAGGGTGAAAGATCGAAAGGTAGGCATGGGTTGGAACAGGAGAAGAGAGCAAGGGAACGAGGCATATCCGCTGCGGACGGACGTGGGTGGAGTTGGGGCGGATATCGAAAAAAGTCTTCTGGGCTTGGACTCGAGGGCGGGTACCAAAAAGGTAGGTTTCAGGGAGGGGGGACACGACACACACACAGACACACAGACATATATATAAATATATATATATATGCAAGTTCAGTTGCAACCAGGTGTTATCCAGTTGGCTTCCAGGTCTTGCAGCTGGAAGGGTTCAAGATGCTTTCTGGCTTCTATGTGGCATATGCCTTCATTTGATATGGCATGAGTAATGATGAGATCTTAATCATGATATATCAAATAATCTAAACCAAGAACCCCATGAACAAGTAACCTTTCAAAAGCAAACCAGCATCATAGTGTTTTCAACCGTGTGGCGCTATGAAGATGCGCTGGGATGAATCATCTTTATCTTCATCTTCATCTTCATCATCGGATGATGAACCTTTAGACCTGACCCCTTCTCAAATGGAGTATAGCGAGTGTGGTGCGGACTTTGTGAAGAAGGCCAAGCTGGAACCATGGTTTCGCCAATGGGGTTCCCGCCCATTTAACTACTCTAGTGACTGCTTCTTGTCCGCAATGCTGGGGGGTCCTGGGGTTTGTTTCTGACAGTTGGCTTCTAACTTTAGCCATAGTGTGGCATTTTGACTTTTTCATTGATGGGCCGCCAGATGTTGTTTGCAGCACGTGGCAGTGAGGGGTGTATCCACTACAAGCCGGGTTCTTGCCATTCAGCTTCATGTATCACAGTGATTTGTTCTTATCTATCGTGTACCCAATATGTCCAGCCTCAGGATATGTCCAGCCCCTTAGGTCTAGCAGTGAAATCAAACCAGCCGCTATTCGTTTTCTGGATGCCAACTTTGCATGCGAGATGCTTTCTGGCTGCACCATAAGGCTTATGTATGAGGGTTCATCATCCCCATCAATGATTTACAATTTCCAAGCCACACATCTTAGGAAACCCGGTGACATCTTTAGCAAGAAGTACACCAGCAGACTGAAATGTCTAAAGAACCAGGCTTGGTCCACAAACAAGCATCAACAATCACAGAATTTGAATGTTCTCAATTAGCCAAGATTGCTACCCATATTTCCCTGGAGGTGACCCTATATTGCGCTGGATTCCCATGTACTCCATTCTCAGCATTGGGCCAACAGCAGCGATTGGCCGACAACAACTCCCGGCAACTTTTCCGATGCATTTCAAATGGTAAGACTATGCAGCCAGCCGCGCCTAAGCTAAAACTCATGTTTGCAAAGAAATGCCTTTGACCTGAACCGTTTTGAACATTATGTTTTGTAAGTTATGTAATAGTTATATAATAGGTATGTAGTATGTAAGATAGTGACTGTGATATTTCGTGATGGTGATTCCCATACATGTCCTTTCCCTAACTTTTCCCAGATCCACTGAGATGATCATCTTTGAGAACGTCGTTCCCTTTCAGCAGGTGCTGGAACCGGTGGTGAAAGTCATTGAAAGGAATCTCCCGGAGTGACTTTGACACATTATATGAAACGTATGTTGAAAAATGATGCATGATATGACAGAAATGACATTCAAATACATTCAACCTTTATGTGAAATGCCATCCAAGGTATTGGATAGCCAATATCATCGTGAATCCTGCAAAGTTTGGTGCTCCTATTGACCGTCGTCGTCTTTACATGGTGATGATTCGGCATGATGTTCTTTCAGATGAAACCCTGGAAATCCTAGATGATGCAGAGCCAATTGAACGCTTCACACGTCTCATTGCTGAACGTGTATGTGGGCTAAATATGCCATGCAAATATGATTGGAATCTCGTATTATATGCTTATATGCTGACTTTTCTTTTACATGTGACATAGAGTGATGACATGCTTAGAGTCCAACAAACAACATATCATGGTATGACATGTTTCTTGTGTCTTCAGCCCAGGAAAGACTTGATGTTCTCCAATTCATTCGGTTCAGTTCAGGAAGATCGACAGGCACGGATCCTGAAGCGGGAGCGCCAGGCGGCCAAGAATCTTGACCGCACCCGGGACCCAAGTTCGAATTAACATGGTAATTTCAATGCATCCAATGTCCATGTGCAGATCGACACACTCATTTCAAATTAATTTCAACCAATGTACTCTGAGGAAGATTGACAAGAATGCCAAGTGGATCAAAAGACATCGCAAATGGGCAAAAAGCCCATCTATTGATGACAGTAAGTTGGATTCGTTCTGAAGCCCTGCCATCAGATTCCCCATCCACAGGTGAGTGTTACCGCATCCCGTGGCGCCTTTGCAAAGCGATGGCCGCAGGCTGCAGAGGTGGTAACCACCTTCAGGGAGATGGAGGCGGCTGGGTACCAGGATATGTGGTTGGTACATTTGGATAATTTTTGCTACATCATATTACATCGTCATAATCTTACATCAATTTGGATGTTTTGATTTGATCTATCTCAATGTTTTTGGCAGGCATTGGACCTCCTTACATCGAGTGGGAAGTATCCTTCTGGTTTCGTGGTGAACACCTCCCAGAATTTGGGCTGTATGCCCTGGAGCTCCCTTGACAAGAACTTGATGGTACTGACGTAC